ATACATAGTATTCCTCCGCATCTTGGAGTATTATGAAGGCATACTGATTCTCACTTCGAACAGAGTTGGCACATTTGATGAGGCTTTCAAATCACGCATCCAAGTTGCAATCCATTATGACAATCTAACCAAGAAATCGCGAAAAGCAATCTGGCGCAACTTCTTCGATATGATTGAAGATTCTGCGGACGAAGACGCAAATATGCCAGAGCTTGAGCGGCGTCTAGATGAACTCGCCGCTGAAGAGATGAACGGCCGTCAAATTCGGAACGCGTTGCTAACGGCTCGCCAACTCGCGAAGCACAGGAAAGAAAGGCTAGATTGGCAACATCTGAGCCAAGTCATCAAGACTTCAGCAGCCTTCAATAAATACTTAAAGGTCGTTAGAGGACATAGTGATGACCAATGGGCCAGAGAAGAAATGCTACGTTAGCCAGGACTTTGCAGACATAGACAACATAGATTCTAACAAAGGTAGTATCAAGCATGGAGAATCCATCGTTTCCCTCCTTGAAAGTATGCTTTATTGACTGCCCATTTCCCATTCCTCCAAGCCGGAATAGCCTCCATGCTATGGTCCTTTAACATATAGACGATCGTACCAAATTATTCAGAGACAAAATCCTGCGTGGCGTCAGATATCAAATATATCATCAGAGGTAGCAAGGTTAATGGATGCTCTCACATGCCATTGGTTTAAGAGATATGTAATGATAGCAGCAACTACACAAACTACGATAGCGAAGCCAGCAGCAACGGCGCGATGGGGTTCAATTGATGATACTGTGGTCAGTATGAGACTTGTCATAAGGTGCATGCCAGAAAAGTTGATTCTCAAAGACTTTTGACTGTATCACTCACTTGCTCTCAATATCATATCAATAGACCTGAAACTCTTCGGCGTCGAAAAACGTATCCGCGTCTCCTTCTTCACTGCCGTCAAGTTCTGGCCCAACTTCATAGTCTCTGTCATTGTGGTCTGCAAGGGAATCCGTGTCACTACTCCCATCATCATCCTCTTTAACACAAGTATTAGAGCTGTCATCGTCTTCCCACCTAGACTCCGGAATATGGCGTTCACCGTCTAGCTCTTCCTGGTGGTACCAGGTGTCTGCACTATTCCATGGTCGATGGTACAGAGATTCATCTTCCCGCATTTTCCTCTGCTGCTTGATGACCCAGTTCTTCATCTGTCGGTATGACCCATCGGCAAGTTCTTTCTCTCTAGCATCCAAGAAACGTCCTGCATTCCAATTACGCTCATTGATCTCCAAGATCAGTACGGTAAAAGACCAGATTGCTCCCACAATTGGCCGATGCCACCCAGCATAATGACTACTTTCCGTCGAAATCATACGTGCCCATAGCTCGCCAAGCGGGGGCGCGCCATAAAAGTCGACTGCTGTTGGATCAATTGGACCTAAATCGACTTGGCGCAGTGCCTCAATCTCATTGGATTTCCAGTACCTAGCGACATAATGTAATAGGGTTGAGCCGTCGGAAAAGCGGATGTCTGTATTTGCGCCTAGTCGTATCATCTCTACGCTTGCCAGTGGATTTGTTATCATTGTAGTCGTTAAAGGGGTGAAACCATGGTCGTCTCCGTGCTCCAAGTCTGCTCCCCCTTCGAGTAATGCTGTGACACTTTCGCGAAATGTAACTAGGTTATCTTCTTGATACCTAGCACGTCTGTGAAGAGGTGTTTCACCTCGCATATTCTTTGAGTTTGGGTCCGCACCATGGCGAAGGAGGATGTTTATCACCTGAACATTGCTACAACAATTGTGTAAGGCGCTTTCATTTGCCAGATTACGGGCGTCGACTTGAGCTCCGGCATTCAAAAGCCCAGAGATAATACTAAGAGAAGTTTCTCGTCGACAGGCAAAATCAAGTGGCGAGATTCCTTGAGCAGATGGCCGATTTGGATCAGCACCAAATGATAACAGCGTTTCGACAGCTTGAAGATCATCCTTTATGACGGCCCACTCTAGTGGAGTAAAGCCCATATGATCTGTGTCGTCTTTTTTGAATGGCTCCATCTGTAAAGCCTGTGGTAGAGATATTTGATTCACACCAAAGATCGCGTCATGGATTGATGTGGAGCTACGAGGTTCGAACTCCTCGTCAACATCGATCAGTCTAGGGAGAATGGCCCGAATATCCCGGGGAAACACGGCTATTCCATTGCTGTATAATTCGAATCTCATGTCGTGAATGAACGAACTTGAGCATCTGAGTTAGTTCATTGGCTTTTCAGCTTGTGATGGTACGGTAACTTCATCCAATGAAGCGCGAGCCATATAAAACTAGTACGGTGATATCAAGGCGGGTACTCACTGTCCAGACATGTCCTGTATAGTATGATCAAATCCTGCACGAAGCAGGAATCGTATCACTTGCCAGTTCCGGTACCTGACGGCCCTCTAAAAGAAATTAGCACGTACTTCAAAGCGCATCAAGTTCAATGCTTACACTCAACACACTCTCCCCGGATTCAAATATATCTGTCATAAACAATTTCTTTTGCGATATGTTCTGCTTCAGCCAGTCAATGTCGTCATAGTATAATGCTAGAGTAAGATTAGGCGAGTTATTGACCCGGGGAATCTTGAGATGCATGCTTGCTCCAAGATCGATGAGACTTCTCGATGAGACATAGACGCAAATTGCACGAGCAATCATCCAGCTTGGAAATCGATAATGAAGTCGAATCAAAGTTCTCGAATTCGAGCGACAAAGCGGATTGTTACATGGTCTGCGGTCAAATATGGGAATGCTGTTGTATTGGATACATAATGATCCCATGATTGTCTGCAGGAGTCTGGGCGTATTGATGCGAGAGATTGTGTGGCATTGACACTTGCAAAGCCGTGGACATGTCTGCCGGAGGGTTCCTGAAAGAAGCACATTTGAATTCAGAATGCCTGGTGAGTGTAAGCGACTAGTCTTGCCAGTGACAGCTTCGATGGCACGAGTTTGGAGATCTGACAAGCCATGGTCGGAGCTGTTACTCGAAGGATGCCCGACGCCAGGATATCGCTTGTTTCGCGAGGGTATCTGGTCGTATATTGACAACTGGCTGGTCCCGTCTCCTCTCTGCTGGACCAGGTGTCTCAAATGTGCTTCAATACGCTGATTCGATTGTTTCAAATCACGTTGCCCTTCTTGTAGGTTCTGTAAATCAAGTCTCTCGAGTTTATCTCTCAAGGGGTCGATATCCTTGATTCTTTTCTTGATGACGTGAAGATCTGCCTGTATGCCTTGTTGTATACCCTGCGTAGCAACTTGGCCCGCTATCACGTTCTGAAAGCCATCCTCTGCGCTTTTCTGAAAGTCTGTATATGTTGTCTCGATCATACTTTGAACGTCAATGATCAAACCGCCTTGCATAGCACTGTACTGTGATCAGCTAGTAAATTTAATGTCAGGAATGTGTAATTACATTTGTGATGTGTTCATTGCCGTGAAGGATAGCAGCATTTGGGTCTGCACCTTTTGGGCTTTCTCTCGAAGCCGCAACACATTGCTCTTTTCCTTATGCCATCTAACCTTAGAAACACGTGGCATTCCATCTTGATCTCGACCATTGATGCTTGTGATGAGCTTTACAGCCACTTCGTTTAGGTCATTCGAAATCTGGGCGAGGTCTTGTTGAAGCACCCTTAGAACGCCACGGCCGATTGGTGATGTTCCAGTAGGCGAGGTATCGACGGTCTCGAGTGTCACTTTCACGTGCTCCAAGATAGCCCGTAACAGACTCAACTCATTGATCAGTGCAAGAAACTCGTCTGATGCGTTTCCCAAGGACTCGATAGTCTTGACTATCGTGCCGATGGAGTTTACAGCCTGTACAATAGCGATAACGCTAGCTGTGATTGAAAGAGGGTCCATGGCAGAGGGATGCTGGACTTTGGCAACCGGTGATTCTCACTTCTGAAAGATGCAATCACGATGAAATGCGATTTTCCGAGAAGGAATGAACGCTGCGTTGTCATGTGCTCTCACTACCCTCCAATCACGATTGCTCAATATTGATGAGGCTACACTGCCACAATGCTGCCTACAAATTTACTACGCATTATGCCTCAGCACGCCAACGCTTTACGAAGTCGGGCATGCATATGACCAGTCTCGCGTTTCTTTCGCTATCAGCTTACATTTGTAGAAACTGCAGCATAGATGTATCATCCCAAGTAAACACTGAAGTTTCTTCCTAACAATGAGTGGGCGCGGCTTTTGGACCTGCTGGAGGGCGCTCCGAAGTTTTCGGAAAGTGTGAAAGCAGCCACCGCTGAGGCCTGCGAGATGGTCACCTATTAGGCGCTGGAGCGCTGGTGTCTCGGGGCCTCCGCAGTGAAAGGGGGCATACGCCTCCTCCCAGGATAGGTAAGCTGGAGTAGTGGGAGAGTTCCTATTGACGAATCATAATTCACCCAGCCAAAGTTCACCCGAACGGCGCCCCCACCATGTTTTCACGCTACGTGACCCCAGGTTTACAAAGCTGAAGTGGCAACGTCGAGTATGTCTTTACAGAGTCGACTTATTGTTAGCCAATTATATCCAATCCAAGGACTTAGAGTTAGCCCCAAGCAGTGATATATTGCTGGGGTAGTTCCTGAATATGTCGGTACCCAGAAGGAACGTGGCCATGTAAGTAGCGTATAAGACTGTCCCGGCGTCTACCCGCAATTGACATCCAGAAGGTTGGACATCAAATACTATATATCTTTCCACGATAGTAGAGTGCAGCCATGAATATGTCGATCTCGCCTTCGAAAAAGTGGTGGAAGGAAGCTGTAATTTACCAGATCTACCCTGCAAGCTTCCTGGACTCTGATGGAGATGGGTTAGGTGACCTTCCTGGCATCATTTCCAAACTGGATTATATCCGTTCTCTTGGAGTAAATGCCATATGGCTGTCGCCCATCTACAAAAGCCCTCAGAATGACATGGGATACGATGTTGCAGATTATCGGGAAATACATAAACCCTATGGATCAATGCAGGACATGGATACGCTGATTCGAGGCTGCCATGACAGGGGCCTTAAAGTCCTTCTGGATCTAGTGGTGAATCACACGAGCAATGAGCACCCCTGGTTTTTGGAGTCACGGGCTAGCAAGACTGCTGTCAAGCGCAATTGGTACATCTGGCGTGATCCAAAGATAGGCGCGGACGGCACCCGTAAGCCGCCAAATAATTGGGCATCTATCTTCGGGGGAAGTGCTTGGACTTGGGACGAAGAGACCGGCCAGTACTATCTCTCCCTGTTTCTGCCTTCTCAGCCGGATCTAAACTGGGATAACGGGGAGATGCGACGAGCAACACATGCTGACATGCTCTTTTGGCTCGACAAGGGCGTCGATGGGTTCCGAATTGACTCTATGAACCTCATGTCCAAGCATACCGATTTGCCAGACGCACCTGTCGTCAACCCGGACTCCGAATTCCAACCTGGTGACCAATATTTTGCAAGCGGGCCGCGCATGCACGAATACATCCAGGAGATGCGAACCGAGGTCTTTGACAAGTACGACTGCATGACAGTCGGCGAGTTGGGTTTTACAAAAGACGAGCAAAGCGTCTCAGAATACGTTGCCTATAATCGCCACGAACTCAACATGGTCTTCACTGGCGATATTGTGGACATGGATTTCGGGCCAGGCGGGAAGTATGAGCGCAATGACTTCGAGGTCTCACGTATCCGCTCGATTACCAGCCGGTGGCAGACTGCGATGCCAAGATTCAACGGCTGGAACGCAGTCTACCTCGACAACCATGACTCCGGCCGCTCGCTGAGTCGGTATGCTTCAGACCTACTCCAGCACCGTGAAGCCGCGGCTAAGATGCTGGCGACGTACATGGGCAGCCTCAGCGGTACTCTATTCCTGCTTCAAGGGCAAGAAATTGGCATGGCCAACGTGCCAGATAATTGGGGTATTGACGACTACATTGACGTAGAGGGGAGCAATTACTACCGGAGCGTACTCAAGAAGAGAGGAGAAGGGGCAGATATGAGCGATGTGCTGAGGGAAATGAGACTGAAATCTCGAGATAACGGTCGCTTGCCAATGCAGTGGAGCGGCGAGACGAGCGCGGGTTTTACAAAGGGAGCGAAACCATGGATGAGGGTCAATGACGATTACAAGGATTGGAATGTTGATAAACAATCAGGAGATGACAACAGCATACTGGCATACTGGCGAGAGGTGTTGGCTTTGCGACAGAAGGAGAACGACGTGTTCACATACGGGAGATATGACATGCTGAGTGCGGCAAAATCTGGCGACCAGGTCTTCGCATACACCATGACCAGCTTCCAAGAGAAGAGGAAGGCTCTAGTTTTGCTCAACTTTTCAGACAAAGAACAAATGTTTAATTGCGAGGGCTTTGAAGGATGGAAAAGGTTGCTTGGAGAGAATATGACAACAGAGTTAGGAAGCGCAGGAATTCAATTGACGCCCTATGAGGGCGCGATATTCTGTAACTGGAGGTAATAAAGTATTGAATTGGCAATTAGCAAGATCATCTAATCTTCTCAGTCGACCAACAATTCTCTCTATCTTCATTACATCTATTTCATTTATAGAAAATGCAAACGAGACGACAGGCAAAAAACATTTGGAGACGTAAAGGGATCGCTGAATAATTTCCATCAGTCTAAGCGGCAGCGCTTAGACTTTCGCCTGGGATGAGTTCATGAACGATGTCTCTATTACCTTTATGGTTCAGGTCCTGGTGGAATTGCTGTTGCACCAAGACATTACGGTCACTCGCTCGGCTCGGCCAAGCTTTCCTAAGCCCTTCCCAGCACTGAAATGAACATTCCTCTCATCAAATTTTCCTACATCATAAGACGCATAAACTGATGCTTCTAAAGATGGATATATGCGTGACATCATAGCGAACCGGTCGTCGGTATATATCTCGAAGATTGATACATCGATAAAGAATCTCACTCGCAGATTCTCACCAGGTAGAAGATGGAAGCACCCAGTGTCCCAGTGTCTGCCGCAATGGTCCCAAGGCTCAGAAGCGAGGATTGGCTTTTGTCGAGAGTAATGTGACCACCTTTAATATCGAAGATGATTTCAGTTACTTCGAGACCATCCGGCGATTCTCGAATATTGAATGCAAACTTCTCTTCCCCTAAAAGATTGGAAAAGACTGCCTCAACTTCGTAATTTGTCGTATGCATTCCCTGAAAATTATCACGCTCCGAAATACTTTGACCCTGCCTAAGGTCTAGTAGTTGAGGCGCAGGACGTATTCCCAGCGTCGTTCTTTTGCCATTCGCCTCATCAACTATCCACTCGGTTCCGACGACTCCGGTGCCCAGGGACTCTGAGATTTCAAACAATTCTCTAGGATATGCTAAACAACCAGCCCATCCCTAGTCCCTGACTATTTGACCTTCTGCTGTCTCATCGGCCCAACCAAGCTGGAGTAACCGGTTCTCTGAGTCTCAAAAAGTACGTGAAGCATACGAGACTCCATGATCAAGTAAACCATGTCCGGAGATATCAAAGTGAGGCTTGCCATCTCGGAGAGACAAGGATCCGGACAACCAGAGCAATAAGTGATCATTGTGCCGTTCGCTACCTTCACCCTCTTCAACAGCCACAAGTATGTAATCAGTGCTGCTCATAGTGAAAAAGCTAGCGCACTCGAAGTTGATGCCAAAATGAGTATCGCTAGTTGTTGAGATTTTCGAGCCACTTTCGTCATCGAGAATGGTTGAAAGGTAATCCAGCCGTCAACAAGGTCATTCGACGAGTAAATGTGGAGCTCAGATCCATGACCTCGCTCTCCGGAAGATAACAGCATGTAACTTTGCTCTTGATGCGCTCCGAGAGGCCGGGAGAGGGAAGGCCATTGTGAAGTTTTGACCAGCTGATGGGAGAGCCGAGACGCTTGTGTAGAAGAGGTACAAAACTTTCTCGCCATCTTCTACTCTTGAGACTAGGGATCCCGAGAAGACACCCATCGAGTTATACGAGTCTCCATTTATGAGGGCGGGCGGACAGTCGTCCCATGTCACCATGTCCTTGCTTTTGGCTATTCCCCAGGCACAATTGCCCCCTGTTGTAGTACCTGGGTTCCATTGATAACAGACAAGATATTCCTTGGTTTCCGGGACAAATATGGTGCCGCAAGGATCATTTGACTAAGAATGAGGTGCAATAAAGTGTGAAATGGGTCAAAATCGTTCAATTGCCATTTTAGAGGAGATGAGTAGGCCTGGTGCTCTAGGCACACAAGTGTGCGCGGTTACGCGATCAAGGAATCAATCGTATCTTACGATATCAGAAGTCAACAAACTTCAACTCAAGGGTGGAGTATCTCGACTACGGACGCAAGGAGTGCAATAATATAAAAGAGCAGTAAGAAGAGTGGCACGAGACTTGGAATAGTGTGTAGAGTAATCTGGGTAACATACAGAGACTCAAATTTGAAGAGATTCATAGAAGAAGGAAAGGCTCATGTAGGTCTGGAATAACCCTCTCGACTCTGGTCTTAGCTATAACGAGAGGCTTCCGAGCAGTGGGGGTGGCAAGCCAGATGAATCGACAATAACATGCGTGAATCCTCATACTTGTGTACCTGCTCAGGAATCTCGCTCGTTGCTCCCGTTGCTCAATAAAAATTCACCCTTTTAACGAAGCAAAAACTCGACCCAGGATACTTCCGCCGCCTTACTGATAATGTCTCGGCTCATCTTGGGTTGGATTGAGGCGTTGCGATGAATCAAACGGGACTAAAATGGGCTCAGGTTGTTAGCCCGATAAATTCAGCGATGAGGCGTGAGCCCGGTCGAGACCCTTAGCGCACTTCGCCTCGGAGAAATTCACCCTACTGGTCAATCGATTACCGCGATGGGGCGGCTTGTGCCATGGGGGTTCGGCAGAATTACTGTCTCTCACGTCTTCTTCCCCGATTCTGAACCATATGGTTGGATTATCTACCCCGGAAAATGGGGTGACTTGGGGATCGCGTTCTCCAGACGCCTCATACGTCTCTTAGAGAAAAGGATATAAGACGCTATCGCGTCCTCCCCTCAGAAATATCTGGTCTCCATGCCCATATTCGATCAATTCACTCTATTCCGAGTCTCATACTTGACTGTTATCGTCTTCTTATTCAGTAACTTGTAACATGGAGTCTAAAAAGATCGACCCTAGTCTTACAGAGACTATTGCCAACATGAAAACCATGTCCGAAGCACACTTGGAACATGTTGCCGAGGACGACACATCAAAGGCGGCAGTCTTCAGGGACCTGACACCCAAGGAGCAGTATCAGCAACTCTGGGCTAACCTCAAAAACGACAAGCGATTTGTTATTTGGTCCCTCTATGTCATGGCCCTAGTCTTTGGCTGGGGTTATGATAATGGACTATCTGGTGCCGCTATTGCCTTCCCCGAATTCAGAAAAGCATATGGAAACTACTACTCCGACGGGGATCAATATGTCATCCCAGCACTCTGGCAAAGTCTATGGTAAGCAAATTTCGGATTTTAACCTTACCTTTCTACGTTCGAACGTCAGAGACAAAGGCACAAGTTCAAAACTGGAGAGTTCCTCCGAGACACATATAGAAGTACTTTTCTTGCTATTATGACCTTAAAACTGCAATACTAACTCCAAACAGGAACGCAGCTTCCACAATCGGTCAGGTTTTTGGCGCTTTTCTCACCGGTCAATTTGCCGATTATCTGGGGAGGCGAGCTATATTGTGGATTGCCGTCATCCTGTCCATTGCATCATCGTTCGCCCTGGTTTTCGCCCCCAACCTGCCGGTGCTCTTCGTCTCGAAACTCTTACTGGGCTTCTCGATCGGATTCTCAACAGTAACTCCCCCTCTCTACGTGACCGAAAACGCACCCGCGCCTCTACGAAGCACGCTAAGCTCATTAACCAATGTCATTATCGTGCTTGGATATTTCCTCTCCTCCCTGGCGGGGTACGGCTCTTCCCAGATCTCTGGAAGATGGAGCTATAAATTGGCTTTTGTCTTGACGTTTCTCATTCCAGGCCTATTTGCCCTTGTCCTGCCATTCCTTCCAGAGTCACCAGTTTGGTACGTCAAGAAGGGAAGAGATGATGATGCCCGAAAGGCAATCATAAAGCTGTTCGGCAAGGACACAGACGTTGAACAAAGACTCGAGTACATCAAATCAGAGTTGGAAGTGATGGCCGGAGAAGCCAGCCTTGCCAGCGGGACAAGCTGGAAGGCCATCTTCAGCAAGGAGCACCGAGCGCGGACTCTAGTTGCCGTGCTGGGTCTTCAGTCTCAGAATTTCTCCGGTGGTTACTTTGCCAGTACGTAAAAAACCTACTACCCTTGATGACCCACAACCTGGCATTATAAAATTGACCTAACTCTCTCGCAGATACGTATCAGACCTATTACTTCGAACTGATCGGCCAGCACAACGCTTTCGGCTTGACTGCTATTTCTTCTACACTCCAATTTCTGTCTAACTGCGTCGCTGTTACCCTATCAGATGTCCTACCTCGTCGAAAGGGCTTAGTTGGGGGTGGCACTTTGCTCTGTGTTTGGTCAGTAATCATTGGCGGCACCTCGCTTGCCAGCAAATCCAACACTGCCGCCAATACTACCCTACTGGCTTTTATGATCACTTGGTCTATGCTGTACACCGCTACCGTAGGATGTTACGGGTGGGCCGTTGCTCAAGAGACTGCCTCACAAGTCACGAGGCCTAAGACCATTGCATTTACGCTCATGTGCCAGCAATTGACCGCACTGATGCTGTCGTCCGTCTTCCCCTACTTTATCAACCCGGATCAGCTTAATTGGGGCGGAAAGGTGATGTTCTTATTTGTTGCGGCTGAGGTTGTTATCCTGATCGGTCTCTTCTTTGTGCAACCAGAGACGAAGAACAGAACTTATCATGACATTGACACGCTCTATACACACAAGATTCCAGCGAGGAAGTTCAGCCAGTATGTTGTTGAGGATGATGTCCCCAGGAAGAAGCTTGCTTGAAGAGCTACGCGTTCAGATATACTTCTGGAACAACCTGAACGAGAAATTATCGTAGTGCCTTCAAAACAATATCATAATTGGGTGATTTGAAAGTATTGGCCTATCGATTTACTCGTTGGTATTCTACATTGTCTATCAATCTACTCATGCGTCCCAAAGACATCTTGTGAAGTACTTGTCTGCCTCTAGTAGTAACCTACACAAACCCTGCCACTCCTTTTTCTGGGGTGCATGAGTGGCGAACCAAACGGCGGCTCCGAGTGAACTAACGAATGAGGAGGATGAGGGGGTGTAAATCGCCAGAGCATTTTCTGGGCTTTAGCACGATGGCGCACCGCATAACCCCTCCTGCCGACTACCCACTAGAACTTCTCTCCGTTCTACCCTCCCACCTCTTTTGTTGATCAAATCCCATCGACAATTCAATCTTAATGCGTTTTCTACGATGCGAGCCTTAGGGTGTCGCTTCATCTCGATATGAGTCATCGTCAGCCTGAGAGGAGGCCCGGTAGGGCGAAGGGTCAGGGGAAGGTGAAGCAAGCATGTGATAGCTGCCGCGCGCGTAAGATACGCTGTGACGGAGCTTGCCCTTGTGCCAATTGCGTATCCACCACATTGCAATGCACCTTTCTTGCAGTACACAAGAAGACGGGCCCTAAAGGCGCACGGCGACGACTATCATTATATACGTCGCCTTCTATGCGAGATGCTCTGCGGGATATTGCTCGAGATGGGGACATTTCGCCGGGCTTTTCCACAACTTCGGCAGATAGTTTTCAGCACAGTGTTGCTGAATCGCCTGCGTCTGTGCCTCCTTGCCCAGTCGTTGACGTCGCAAATACCAAAGACTGCTCTGGCTTCCAGTCATCTCCGGTGTTGACGGCCGAGGTGGCCTGTCTGTGCATGGATGCTTTCTTTCAGTACAAGTATCCCATCACACCGATCTTGGACCAGGAACAGATGAAGGCTGCGCTACTGTGCTACACATCTTCCCCTGAGGTGTATAGCCTGCTCGCAGCATGTTGCGCCGTCATGGTCCTTTCGCCCGGGATCCTCAAGCAAACATCTCCAACTTTATTCCAGTCATTGTTGACGTCCTCGATGCTAATACCTCCACTGCCATCATCTGCGCACTATGGGACCTCGGACGGTCTAGCAGACATACCCACGGCGCGTTTCTTCATCTCGGAGGCCATAAGGGCCCGGCAATTTACTAAGTATACAGAACATCCGTCTCTAATTACTATTCAGACTTCGTTCTTTCTATTTTCCGCCTACTTCTGTTTAGGTGATGACAATTCGGCATGGTTTTATCTTCGCGAAGCCATAACAGTGCTTCAGATGTTACGTTTTCACGATGAAAATACCTATGCGGCATTGCTAGCCAGTGACCCCCTATCAGCCGCATACGCTCGCCGCATCTTCTGGGTTCTGTTCATTACCGAAAGGGCGTATGCTCTCCAACGTAATAGGGTTCTTACACTGCAGACGAGCATCGAGCTGCCTTCGGTGGAGTCGGATTCCGAGGCACCTATTCTCCGAGGTTTTCTCAACCTCATTTCATTATTTCGGAACTTCGACGAGGAATTCGTCAACTTGTGGAACCAGCCCTCTAGCACATCGCCATCTGAGAAACCCTTGGTCAAATTGCAGAACATTCTAGCCTACGCTCTACCCACAGTCTCCGGCTGCACCAAGGGCCAGCTAGCGGACTTGCTTGTATCGCGGGAATGGCTCAAGACGATCGTATGGCAGCTTTGCGTTTCTAAGGCTATGCTTTCGAGCTCAAGCAGCGAGGAGAGCATGTCCTTTCGGTATCCCGTGGCCATCGCCCGGGACTTACTACTCGTCTCGCGTCTTCTTCCTCAGGAGGCATTTGAGGCTAATGGAGTAGGCATCTTGGAGAAGATGTTCGATATCGGGTGTTCTCTTTCTGATGTTCTTTCCATAGAACCTGGGTTCGCCCAGCCCTCCACACTTGAGGTTGGGCCCAGGGATTGCCTGGTTGAGCTTGTCCGCATCATCGGTTCTTTTGGGGGTGGCTATAAGAATTTGCAGTTTCTAGCTAGCAAGGTCTCTGATTGTTTGCGGACGAGCATTGATCGGCCCTTGCTTGTGCCACTGGATGATGTTGACAATGACCGCCAGATTTACGAGTTATGATTGATGTGAAGCAAAGGATCAAGCTCAAACCAGGCTAAGCCAAAGTGTTGGGATTTATACCAAAACACATGTATCAACTGCCCCAGGTTCCCAAGGCCTAGATTTAAGACTAGAAACAATAGTTATACGCGCTCACAGACAATCAAGAGTGGAACTACAAATTTTTCAGTCATGTGAATAGTCCCAAACTTTCCACGCCCCGGAATGCTTCTTGGTAAGATAAGAAGCAGGTTACTGACACTAGTTGGGCAAGCTAGTTGGGATAAACAAAAGCGGCTCTGAAGCTAGGCGAGTCAACGAAGCGTCTGCCTTGAAGCGAGTACTTGTGTGGTTTAAATGGTCACAAGATTGGTCTATTATCCTGGCATTCGACTTGATTGGATTTTCTAGAGCCTTAGGCTATTTCGGAAAGATTCTTATCTTCTTCGACACAGCTCGTAATAGTGACTCGAATAGGAAGGTCCACCTATAGGCTATTCGATGCGAGGTTCGGATTTCCAAAGGCTGATTCTAAAGAGAAAGCCAGTCGCGGGTCAAGAGACTGGACGAAGGTGCTGATGTCAGCTAATCCTCTGGCGGCAATCCTTGTCGTGTATGATTTCATTCTCTCAAGACCAGTTACACGTTTGAAACAATATAATGCTGGCAGGTTTCGTTAGATACACAGTCTTTGGGTAGCCAATACATGCTCACTTTGGGCAAGAGTGAGAGAGCCCGAAGGAGTGACAGACACCTGGCAATACATAAATAGAGGCTTCACGTAACGGACATGGTACTTCGAGAGCACGATATTCTGGTTATCGAACACACGTTACTCGGTCCTATTAGGGTCTATACTCAATTTGTCTAGTATTATTATAATCATATACAAATCATCAACAAAATGGCTGAAACACCACAACTACCCCCGCTCGATCCCAGGTTCGAGATTCGTCAACTTAATGAAGATGACATTTTGTGGGCTGCTGCTATTTTGGCATATACTAATGTATTCTACTCGACACACTGGGCTACAATATACCCAGATGAAAAGCCCAAGCGTCTTTACGCGACTACAGATGCCAATGTCTTTCTCATTGGGAAGTACGGTCCCAGTCTATGCTACGGCGTCTTCGATAAAAATTACAGCTTCAAGAGGCCTGAGTCGGCCGCCACTGGCGGGAAACTTTACTGGGACTACAGTAATCTCAACGCCACGAAAGAGGAACTTCTCGAGCAGATGGACTTTCCTCTCGTATCCATTGCTTTGTCCTACGACGGGAACAGTCCACCTGGTTTCACTGAAATGAAACCTCTGATTGACTGTTTACCCCTATTAGGCACCATTTACCAGCAGCTGGCACTTCTTGACAAGCGTGACCCGGAATCATGGAAAGCCAAGAATCCTGGAGAGGTGCTGCAACGATGTGGCACCTCAACACGAGCCGATTACGAGGGCCAAGGCATCATGAAAGCGTTGGCACACTTTCTGATGTACGAGATGGCAGCGAGAGGGTATAGAGGAATTCAGATTGAAACATCCAGTGACAAGGCACATCGAGTCTGGATGAACCCACCAGCGCCTTTCAAGGCGTCCCTCATCTCTGAGTTGGATTCACAGGAGTACGAGGAGGAGAAGGACGGGATCAAGTTCAAGCCGTTTGCCCCGAGTCAACAGAAAATGACTAAAGTATACGTTACCCTGAAATCTGAGGCATAGACAGATACGATAGGGCTGAATAAGGTGCTTGAGTCTCTTGAAGTTGGGTTGTATGTTGAAGTCAATACAGATGGGTGGAGACTACAAGAAATCAATTTCTAACAAATAGCTTATTCATTTGTGAAATGCCTAAGCAAACCGTTTCAGCAGCTCCTCAACCTCCTTCAAAACTGAAATGCACTTTTCCTCCTGTAATCTTCTGCAAATAAATTGTACTCCCACTGGCGCGTTCTTGAAGACTCCTGGAGACGTATCTATACATCATTGTCAATACGCTACATGTCCACAAGCATGAACTAGACCTAAGGGTGTGTGTGTTCTTACAGAGTTGTTTCATTTCTCGATCTCCACGGTCATAGGGGAACCTAACAGGCTCAATCGTTTCATAAACTTCTCCATGATACCATTCGTGATCCGCGTTGTCAAGTTGCTCATCTACAGTAGTGACAGGGACCGTTCCAGCCACGTAGTCTAGCATATTATAGACAGTGGCATAGGAATTGCTTATGTATTGACCATGAGGATTTGCAGGATGAGCAACGGCAGGAGCTACTATAGCATCCATGCTGAACTCATGCCATAGATCGTTGTATTCCGACGCAAGTTCGGCTCGGAGTAGGTGGTTGGAGAATACTTCTTCGGCAGTGAGGGCCGATGCATCGGACCCTACAGCAGTTCGTGGCACGACATGTTCTCCCGAGGCATTGATATGCTTCATTACTGTTCTGCCTCCATCCTGAACATTTGAAAGCATGGTACAAGCAAGACTTCGCCGATGTAGTGGAAATATGCGCTCCCTAGGAAGGGGGACAACTTCATGCCCGCCTTTGGATAGGGCCTCGATCGTCATTCTCAGTGCTCTCTGTACAAATCGTGTTAGATTTCGTCTCAAATCAAAGCACCCTGTCATATATATGTTGCTAGATTTAGGGACACTTACAGTGACCGGAGGTGTTGGCTTGACGACTCCATCATCCCAGACAACAGCAAACTTCAATTTCTTAGAAGGCCGTTGAGCTCTGGTAGAATCCCAAGGCATAGGAATACATCCTGGGATCTCATTCCAGGGCTCTGATTCCAGTTGGGCTCTAAGCCAGAGCTCCATTCCTGCGACCGTCTTGGCTAATGGACCCAACCCAGCGTTGACTGATTCCGAACCACTTCTTGGAGCCGAAACACCTCTTCCTGGCATCCTCTCTTTGGAAGGTTTGAATGACCCTGTTTTCTGAATTAGAAAAGGGTGGTATAATTTTAAGAGCTCAAGCCCCTTTCGCTAAGGAAATAAGCTTACAAACACCACAGAATGCAGCAGGAAAACGCAAACTTCCACCTCCGTCGGTTCCAGACGCAAGAATACTACCTTTAGCTGCCAACAATGCAGCTTCGCCTCCGCTTGAGCCACCTACGGAGAGTTTCAGGTTATGCGGGTTCTTAACAGTGCCGAAAATATTGTTGATTGATTCAACCATCAGTAAAGCTTGAGAGCTGCTTGTTTTGGCATACAATATAGCACCAGCATCTAACAGACCTTGAGCTACACAGGAGTTTCTCGGAGCTCGGTATGGCAGCCATGAAACCAGCCCGGCATTGGTATTAACACCTTCGACATCAAAACAATCCTATAGAGGCAAATCAGAATCTTTCAAGTACAGGGTCAAGACAGCGGTGATATTTTGAGAGGTGATACACAAGAAAGGGCGGGATAACCAGCGCTTCGCCATGTTGCCATACCTTGAGAGAGACTGGCAAGCCATGGAGAAGTCCCACTGTTTTGCCTTCCTTTTCCAAATAGTCATCTAGATATTTAGCTCTCTCAATGGCTCTGTCAAATAATAGTTCCGTGAGACAGCCCGTGCACTGTTGGGCAATTGCCGCACGTTTGCAGAAAGCTTCGGTGACCTCGACAGCAGAGTATGTACGATTCGCAATCCGCTCTAAAAGCACGATCACATCCTCAATCAATGTGATCTCAAAGTCACGGTCAGTAAGAATGCCGCAGCTCAGGACGACAGGATCCTCGGGCAGTAGACCCTTTTCCGATTGTGCCTGCTCTCGCAGCGTCTGCGGGAGACGATATGATTCAGGGATGCTAGCAGACAATTGTTCTCTCTTCTCCAGGGCGGCAGCCTGCCAATCGGCCACAGCAAAGGGAGGTGTGCCATTGGCGGCGGGCGCTGCATAAGCTGCCCGGGCTAGCGGTGACATTTTGTCGCTTTAGAATGGCAACCGAAATAGTAGCATACGCTGTTGCTTGAACTCGAAGAGCTCAAAGTTTGATCATCTTAAGAGCATGAAAACGGCAGAGGGGACCTCATTATCGCCATTGAATTCGCGGGTCGGTGAAGTGGCATCGCACGCTGAATGCCCCGCGCTGGACTTGCGCCGCGGGCAACTGTTTGTTATCATTACCCAATTTATGACTGCTAGCGCGAAACTGTCATCTTCTTCGAATTAATTAAGAAGAGATCAAGTGCAACTAGGATGCCCCTTTTGTGGCTTGTTCAATAATTGAGACGAGATCTTTCACAGCAACTCTTCATTGAGTTTGCCAGTGCAACCCGATCTCGTAATGATCTGTCATTTCTCATTTGGGCAACTGAGTCGATGTGACCATTTCACCGGCCTTCAGCACATAACTAGCACGACTTGGGGGCCTGTGTTCGCATCCGCACCACAAGCTTGTGCGGTAACTCTCAGGGGCAAATCGACAAACATAACAAAAATGCATCGGCAAGAACTCTGAGCGACATCCCGTTCGTCTTGATGCTGCGGGCAGTTTATTGCTCCGTTTGTTCTTCCTACATGACCTGGAAGCACCCTAAATGGCGCGGTATTATATGAGCAATGATGCTTTAGCTCGGGGCTCCGTTCCTACGGCTTTCCAATGTAAGTGGGGACCGGCGGCTGGCCGAATTGACCATCCAAATCCGGTAATTATCGTAATCCAGTCTAAGCACCGCCCGTTACAGCTTCAAGCCATGCTCTGGCCAATAAAGAAATGTCCTTGATCATATGGAGATGCCATCTCCGCCCCGGCGGGCCGTGAAATCACCGACATTTGCTCTCCTAGAAAGTCGCCGACAGCCAGGCTGGTTGAAACCCCTGAATCGCGTTGTAAGACAACATGGTCTGAAGCAGGCACGAGTTTCTCAGCGTTCTGCCTCGCAATAACGGACTTTTTTTTAATAGTTCTGACTGATCTTTGGTATTTGCCATCGTCTTGTCTTGACACTCTCCATTCCCAGCATTCACGATACCCATTTACGGCGTCTCCTCATGTCCACAGACCTATACAGCTAAGAAAGGCACTGAAACAAGTCGAATACAGGACCCCTCAGCTTGATGGCTTCCAAATACAAACGCTCTGTCATTGTAACGGGTGGCACTATCAACCTTGGATACTACGCTGCTCTCAACATCGCGCGTTCTCGTCCCGATTACCTTGTTGTCATTTCTTCGCGTTCCGACAACACCCACTCCGCCGACTCTATCAACGAGATCACCGGTCAGAAGAACGTCATCTTTATTCCTCTTGACCTGTTTGACCTCGATGGCATCTGGTCTTCCAAGGCCTATCCACCCATCCAGTCTCTCGTTTTAAACGCTGGTCTGCAATTCCCCAAGCAGCTGCAGATGGCCCCGTCTGGTCTTGTGGCCACCTTCGCCGTATGCCACGTGGGCCATGCATTGCTCTTCCATCTTCTATGTCCCCATCTAGCACCCAAATCTCACATTCTTGTCGTCTCTAGCAGCGGCCATGACCCGGCGCAAAAGACAGGCATGCCCTATGCTTTGTACAATACAGCAGAGGACCTTGCTCACCCGCCGCCATCGATGATCAAGGTATCTGGAAAACAGCGATACACAACCGTGAAGCTTGTCAATGTTTCATGGGCGTACACTTTAGACAAGAAGCTGAAGGAGAAGGTCCCGGAGCGTGGGATTGTCGTCAATGCATTTGATCCGGGAACGATGCGGTAGCGCACTGGCACGCGAGTATTCATCGATGGAACGCTTTATCTGAAACAACATCATGCCCAAGATTTTGCCACTGCTGAGAGCGTTGGTTTCTCCTAATTTGTATACTCCTGATCAGCCTGACCAAAGGCTCGCGGTTCTGGCTGTTGGATCAGAGTACGATGGAGTGACAGGGAAGTACTTCGAAGGGTTAAAAGAGATCAATTCAAGCGTCGATAGCTATAATGTGCAGAAGCAGGAGGACCTGTAGCAGTGGACAGTGAAGTACTTGTCAAATGGCGATGCGGCTCAGGTAGCAAGGTTTGAGGAGTTTACTTGACGATCATGCTACCATTACGCGAATATGAGCGAATAAATCATGCTCGCTACACTCTAAATTTTGGCAGATAGGCACCCTGTTATAGACCGAATAAACATCGTTCTCACGCGTCACGCAGCTCGACGCGGAAATCGCCACAAAACGCCTGCGTGGACGCAGTGCCAGTGAAAATGCCTTCACCCAGGTCTTCAGCATTCTGATTTGCCGTCAGGAGCAGGCTCATTCTTGCAGAAGCCAACTTCGTCGTAATAAAGGATACGCTCTGATTTTGCAGGAGGTCATGATAAAGCTTGATTCGAGCGGTCCAATAGTCGACTTCAGTATCGTCAATGGAAGTCAGCAAAAGAGACATCATAAACCCGCCCGCTATAGCGAAATTATGATTTGAGATCTCTAAATAGCAGGCAGTGAAATTAAATTAGTAAAAAATAATTTTGTGGGGTGTATGATTGACAAGAAATGAGAATGAGCAGAAGAACACTTACGATTCCACCAGAATGCACGAAGTCGGCGGATTGTCAGCCCCTGAAGTAGCGAGATGACATTATCCACGACAGGTCGCACATTAGTCCGGAATTGATGATATCGCACGTCTGTAGGGTCTAAATGCCGCAACATCGCTCTGTAGAGTATCATTTGGACGATATGATAGGCCAGAAAGATTGTTCCTATGCCGTCAGCAGGGTACTATATATGCCTTGTCTCAGAATATTATTGAACTTACCTGTAGGGTCCAAGAATCCATCAACGTCATATAACGGAAGAAGATGTTCATTATGAAAAGCGATGAGGCGTTGAAGGAATTGATTTGCAAATGTTTCGAGCAGTTCCGGAGGGCAAGACTTAAGCCGCTCATGTGAGCGGAGGGAGTAGAATGTAGCGAGAATATCAGACAAGATTGTCGTCAATACTGCCATCCCTACAAATTGCAAGATGCCGATATCTGGTGATGGCAGGTATTGGAAATTCTTAGTCGGGAAATTTGCAAGTGTCGGTAGAGGAACATTGTGATTCTCTTCATTCAAATAAGGGGGTCTCCCAAGTGCCATTGCCGACCACTTGTCGTGCATATATAACAGCCACCAGAGTCTGATGCGGCGATCTCGATCCTCTTTTGAGATATCCCAAGTGGTAGGGTCAACATTGAGCCCAATATCTTGACTCATTCCGATGATCTGAGAACGGATATTAGGATTCTTATCCACGACTCCATGTTATACCTTTAACTTACACTTCCGATATCAGACCACAGTCCGGGTGTTGGAGGAGCTCTGCCTTGCTATTAGCGAAATACAGACGTTTATCTCCAATAGAACATCAAATTCACTTACCTGTGATATCTAGCATGTCTATGTAAGAAGAGTAAGCTTGCTTCCACAGTCTCTAGCTTGGGTTGCCGGATTTCACAAGGCAGAGCTTGAAAGATCCAGTCAAGTACTTTCATGTCGTTTGGTGACTGCTTATGGAGATAAAAAGGTGACGCAATCTCGCATATGACTGCAAGCAAGAGATCTCCTACCCCATCGCCTTGTTCAAAAGCTGCAGGATCGAGTAAGGGCAAGGAAGTATGAACGGTTTCGAAGTAAGTTTGAACTAGTTTCATCTTCTCCTCCTGCAAAATCTGTCTAACATCTTCCTTGGGATAATACCTCGGCCGCGCATCTAAGTAGCTATCGGGAACGACCTGAGCCAGTATTAATAAGCCCAAATACATGTGTGAGGAATCACCTTGATAGAGAGACTCTTGGAGATAGATATGATTGACTGACCGTAAAGTGTGTTCCGCCATCTTGATTAACTCCGACTCTGATACAAGCCCAGTCTGACCGCCGATAATAATTAAGGTCATTGTAAGACACATGTCGGAGGACAAATGGGTCATGATCACTGCTGGATCCGACAATGAATGAAATCCATTCTTTCGCAGGTCGCGTTGGTGGCAGATGATCATCTTCGTCCTCACCATTTGCTTTGGGCCGCGGGCCCGCTCTCGATCTCTTCGATGAGGAGGCTACCTGATTGGCAGCAGTTTTCGGTCTGGAATTTGCAACACTCTCTGCTAATGTTGTCTTTGAGGCCTTTCCACTTTTCCTCGGTTTGGGAATGCTTTCAAAGCGACAGGTTTCTGACTTCATCCGACACAGCGAGCATGATTCATCGCCAGCCTCTCGAATACAACAAATCTTTCGTCTTCGACAAGCATCACAGCTACAAGTTTTATCAGAGTTTGGTGAGTTCAAAGAGTCATGTTTTCATCTCAGCGATGGTGTTTGACGTACGGTTTTTGCCTCCTTGATTTGTATCGCCGCCCTTCCGAGACCTCCATTTCTACTTAATTGAAGCCGCAAGTCTCCATGTAGACAGTATCAAAGTGAAACAACTAACACGGTGTGCTAGCTATCTTATTTGAGGTCAGGTCGCGAATCTTGAAGCACGATGCAATGATTTATCTCAGGAGCTAATTAATCGATGAAGAGAGAAGCTTCTGTAGTAGGACTGAAAGGTCAAATAAAGGCGGGGGGGCAGTTCACTAATGTGCTAATATTAAGCTCCACAGATAGGCTTATCAGCCACTAATTGTCGAGTACTAAGGCTCAAAAAGCACCTAGACGATAGTGGGACCGCTACCACGCTCTCCCTGCCTACTAGCTGACCGATTACTCCCTCATCGCCTCATTGGCCATCCTCCGGACTTTGCGCTGGCCTTCCGTCAAGCCGGGCTCGTTTTCATCAAATTCTTCCAGCCCGAGAGCTCTTCTGCCTTCGACAGTCAGAATGTTCTCTTCTCGGGCGCCGTGATCGTCATGTTGATATTCAAGCTCGTAAGGCCCGCCGAAGTCGCGGATATAGTCAGGAGGAGGCACAGCCTCTCGAAAGGCTTTACGGTGATTGAGCATGTTCTGAATATTGTAAGTGCAAAGGGGCACGTTTGCAACATATAAAACCTGTTTTTTGTTATAGTTTCTGTCTAAGGACTTCTGGATAAAAAGCTTTGACACTTACACTAGAGTCATTGATCCCATTGTTCTCGTCTTCTACCTCGTGTAGAACATCAGTGTGCCAGAAGATGAAATCACCTGGAAAGATGTATTAGCATATAATAGCTTGGGAACGGCAACGCATAATGGGTGAAATGAAGACTCTAGTCCACTCACCAGGCTCAACTTTTGGGATGCTGATGATGGACTTGTCGTGATATAAGTGTGGATGGTATTTGGGGTTTGCATAGATTTGTCCTCTGGCAGGAATCGAGCCAGGGAACGTTGGCTGCGTGAGATCCAACTTCTCATTCAGGAAGAAAGGACGAAGCATGATATAAGCTGTGCTAAGCTTCAGACTGGGCATAACCCGGAGGGTACCCTCGCCAGGGCCACATTCCGACATGCTCAACCAGCCTTGGAAAGAGCGGAAACCAGAACAACTCCCAACACCTCGATAGAGGTCTACTTTTGCATCATGATGTTGATCCATCTTCCATGGGTCCCATTCTTCCCATCTCCCCTCCAGAATCTCCTGGTAACATGACCGGAATGCCGGATCTTCCCATCTCTCCGTAGAGGATGAGTCGAGATGGGCTTTAAGGCTGTATGCTCTATCGCCGGCCTTACGAATACGAAATCGGTCGCAATACGCAATCTGTGAAGACATATCGATGGGCAATGTGTCGTCTTCGACATGCCATAGCTGACTGGTAGCGTGCATTGCCTTAAGCATTTCTGGGTGCGACCGCGCTTCCATCTGGGGTTTAGTCCAGTACAGCAACCATGTTGTCGGATCCGAGAGGGGGCGGCCTCGCACGGCAGGGTGCCTCTTTGTGTAGTCTTTCAACTCCTCTTTCCATTTCAGTGACTGTTCCGCAGATAGCAGACCTCGAAAAATGACACATCCGGTGTGACGTGCTCGCTCAGCAATGGCATCGGGAATCTTTCCACCTGGTGAGATAACATTAGCTTTGATGTTTATGATAACGATTTACCTAGGCAGACTGGGTGGACAGCGCAGTGTACTAACCATTCGCAATAACTTCAGACCATGGAATCTCGGGAACAGCTGCTTGTCCCATTTGTTGGATCTTCTCTGCCTCCTCTGCAAGAGCAATCTTTAAACGCGCATACGACGCTTCAACAGCATTTTCATGCTCGGGTTTGATGACTTCTCTCTTCAAATTCGCAAATCTTTGCTCCAAAAGAGGCGGGCCGTCCGCTTGATAAACCAGCTTCGGAGTTGTCGTGGCTGTGGTAGCTGCTGGCGTCGTTGTAGTGATGGTAGCAGACATTGTCACATTCAATACTGTCTATCGATCTTTTCCAGAACTATAATTTTGTTGTAATCAGATTGTAGAATAGTACACAATATTTTACTGGCAATTCCTCCATGTCAGATGTGCTTTAATACAAAGGGGCAATTCGAAAATCTGCTACATAACTCCTTCAGTCATTTCATTCAAAATCATCCATGACCAACAACGCCGCCATGTGTTGATGTGTGGCACGCCGCGGTCTAAACCTATTGATGCAGTGATAATCAACCCAACATGGCAAGTAGGCCAATAAGCAAGCAATGTCTAGCATATCAATTGCTGGGGTAACTCATGTTTTGGTCAATGACTCGAAGTGACCTTAGCCCATGGCGTAGGAGCTGCCGCGGCGCGAGAAAACTATTACAACACCTTTCTAAAGAGCCAATTATTCTACAAATTACCTGTCCAGTCCGCCGCGGGCTAAGCTCAACATCGTCCGCCGCGGGCGAACAGGCGGCGTCCTTTGTGGATTGACCAATCACCGCTCGCTGTCACAGGACCTATTGTCTTTTCTTAGGGGCTTGAAAACCCAGCCTACATAGACGGCTGGGGCAAGCTAGCTTAGACTGGCAAGCCTCCATTATTTCCAATGCAATCCTTATCAGTGGCTTAAAGTCATCTGTGCATACTCGTGCTTGTCGATGTGGTGGATTCTCTGCTGTGGGAGCATTTTCCTCTGAGGCTTATCTATGAGATTTGGCGAGTTCTAGGAGGGAATAGTATCGGGTATGGTACGGATCCATAACTAAAGGACGTCGTTCAAGACTTGTGATCTTCCACCTTCCGGACAAAACATAAAAGCTGAGGCAGCTCCTTCTATCTCGCTGGCTGCTCCATCATCAACTACCTTCCTCAGTCAGGGCCCTTTCATGTGAAGAAGATCAACTATACTCAGTAAACAACATGGGGCTCCTCGCATCACTCAAAGAGACTCCTCTCTATAGAGAGATGACGCCTCGTTTATTCATGTTGTTCATGTTCATTTCGGTATGTGTAACTCGCACAATGCATCTTAGGTGACTGACGCTGATTGTCTTGTAGATTGGAGCAGTAAATTTCGGTATTGACAATGGTTGGTGGGCTACTGTACTCACAGTTGAGGATTTCAAAGAGGAGTATGGGGTTTGGAGTGAATCGAAACAGGCATTCTACTTCCCATCTTCCTGGCTCTCAGCTGGGTCCGGCACAGCAAATGCCGGGATGGCTGTGGGAGCTATGCTGGCCGGACCCATTGTGGAAAAACTCGGTCGTCGACTTTCTGTCCTTGTTATCGTCGTGATCGGTCTTGTGGGAATGGTCATCCAAAATGCTGTGCCAAATTACTGGGGCGTTATGGCAGGCAGAACAGTTAACGCTGTGTCTATGGTTAGTCCCCCCACTGCCATACCTATCCAATTACTTCGAAACTCATTCATTTGGCAGGGCATTGAGATCAACAACGTACCTATGTACATGTCAGAACTCTCACCCCCGGCTATTCGTGGATCTTTAGTCAACATGTTTTCTTGGTGGGAGATGGTCGGCGTTCTCATCGCGAAGGGTATCGTCTTCGGGTCTGTGCAAGCACATCCACATGACCAGTGGTCATGGAGAATTGGTAAGAAGCTTGCGAGCATCTCTCTATCCACCTAAGATCTGACCTTCTGACGAAATTCCAGTCCTGTTGGTTCAAATGGTCGTTCCTCTCATCATGCTAGTTGTTGTCTGGTTTGTGCCAGAATCACCCCGCTGGTTGGTGAAACGTAATCGCCACGAGAGCGCTCATAAAGCTCTTAGTTACATCAGATACGGAGTGTCTACTGCCGAGGAAGTCAGCGAAGAGCTCTCTTTGATTGAGGAAGCGGTCCGCGAACAGGCTGAGCTCCACAAAGCAACCTCCTATCTCGATTGTCTGAAGGGATCCAATGGTCGCCGAACAATGATTGCAGTCGGAGTCCAAGTCTTGCAGCAGCTTTCAGGAAATGCCTTCATGCTTTCTTACTCTGTCATTTTCATGTATCAGGTTGGTGTCACCGACCCCCTAGCGTCTTCGATGGCTAGGACTGCCATGGCCATTGGAGGCTCGCTTTTCGCCTTCTACCTGGCAGACAAGATTGGCCGCCGAATACTCATGATTGTCTCCGCAGCTGGAATGTGGATTTCATTCTGGATTGTTGCTGGCATATCCGCTTACACAAAAGTGGAGAACAACTCCGTCGCGGCTTTCCTCCTGGCCCTCCTCCTGATCTGGTCTTTTCTGGGGAATCTCGGCTGGGCATCATGTGTTTGGATCGTTACCGCAGAAGTACCTACACTTCAACTCAGGGAGAAAACCATCAGCATCGCCTCATCCATCAGTTTTATCGTTGTGCTTCTCGTCAGCTATATCAACCCATACATCCAAAATGAACCGAGTAACCTTGGTGTAAAGGTTGGCTTCATTTATGGCTCTTTCTCACTCATTGCCATATTCTTCACCTATTTCTTTGTTCCTGAATGCGCAAACCGCAGTTTGGAGGAATTGGATGAAATGTTCCAGGATAATGTACCTGCCTGGAAGTTCAAGGACTATGTCTGCCACGGCGTTGGTGCTAGAATTACGGAGATCGAAGATCACAACCTTGGACCTCGTACGTATCTTGAGGGAAAGGTTGTCAGTGGCGGAGGTGACGTAGAGAGTCAGCCGCAAAAGAAGGCTTAAGCTGAGTCTAGCTTATCATTCGATATTCAGGGGAGAGCTACTGCTATGATTTTCGATATTAAGAGATTTGTAGATTCCATTCGCGTCAGATTAGTTATTACTTTTGAAACACAATGCAATTGTGATCATCCAATTATATTTTGCAAGCTCGAGACTCCACCATGCCTCTAAACCTTTTCAATTATTGTGTTACTTATTGCATGTATGAATGAAGAATCGATTCCCGGTGCCGCCATGACCTCGCTTGTTCCATCGTGCACAGATACTGATGAAATAGTTGAAGGTCTAGGATAGCACGTGACTTCCAAGTGATATGTCATGTGCGTTGGCTCAGTGTGGTCCGTGCGTGCTGGCGCTGGAGCTCCAGGAGCATCTGAAGGCTTCGATATTTTTTTGGAGCTTAGGCAGACTACATCGTGACCGCCCGCATCCAAATCCCACGCAACACCGTTCAGGACGCACCGATTCTTCCCAAGAGTCCTGACATACGAGAATTCATCGGTAGCACCTGTCCACTAGTGGCTTGCCATTCAATATGTCTTTCGGCGGCCAAACACCCACAATCATTGTCCTCAAAGAGGGTTTGTTGCCCCTCCATGCCATACATAGCTCCAGCTAACCGAAAATGCTCCAGGGACCGATAGCTCTCAGGGCAAGCCTCAGATCATCTCCAACATAAATGCCTGTCTCGCTGTACAGGCTACGATCAAGTCAACTCTCGGCCCATACGGAGGCGACTTGTTAATGGTCGATGCGAATGGGAGACAGACGATTACCAATGATGGAGCGACCGTGATGAAGGTATGGTGGACATGATGGGTATAGCTGTCATGACGCTGACCGTACTATAGCTTCTAGATATTGTACACCCAGCTGCACGAATTCTAGTCGACATTGCGAGGTCGCAAGATGCGGAGGTTGGCGATGGAACCACATCTGTCGTCGTACTGGCGGGCGAGGTCCTCAAAGAGATCAAGGAGCATGTGGAGCAGGGTGTTAGCTCGCAGATTATCATCAAGGGACTGCGGAGAGCGTCTATGATGGCCGTCAACAAGATAAAGGAGATCGCTATCAGCACAAACGAGGCGAACAGGAGGGAAACGCTCAGCAAGCTCGCTGCCACGGCGATGACCAGCAAGCTGATTAAGCGGAATACGACCTTCTTCACGAAAAGTAAGCTCACTACGGTACCGGAATTTGTAGATGGTGCTAACGTTCCTCAGTGGTTGTCGACGCAGTTCTATCCCTCGACCAAGACGATCTCAACGAGAAGCTGATTGGCATCAAGAAGATTCCAGGTGGCTCTCTGACCGACTCGCTGTTCGTGAACGGTGTAGCTTTCAAGAAGACATTCTCATACGCCGGATTCGAGCAACAACCAAAGTCTTTCAAGAAGCCCAAGATTGTCTGTCTGAACGTTGAGCTTGAACTGAAGGCTGAAAAGGACAACGCCGAAGTTCGCGTTGAGCAGGTCTCAGAATACCAGGCCATCGTGGACGCGGAGTGGCAAATCATCTACAAGAAGCTGGAAGCGGTTTACAAGACGGGTGCAAAGGTGGTTCTGAGCAAGCTGCCCATCGGAGATTTGGCAACGCAGTTCTTCGCAGACCGCGATGTCTTCTGTGCTGGCCGAGTTGCTGCCGAGGACATGGAGCGAGTGGTACAAGCAACTGGTGCTACGATTCAGTCAACTTGCTCAGACATTCAAGCTGAGCATCTTGGCACATGCGGCACTTTCGAAGAACGGCAGATTGGTGGTGAAAGGTTCAACTTCTTCGAGGATTGCCCGGAGGCGAAGACCTGTACGCTGGTCTTACGTGGTGGCGCAGAACAGTTCATCGCAGAGGTCGAGCGTTCATTACACGATGCCATAATGATCGTCAAGCGTGCAATTCGCAACCGAACAATTGTTGGTGGTGGAGGAGCTTGTGAAATGGAGGTTTCAGCCTATCTACATCGATTCGCCGACAAGAATGTCCCACATAAACAACAGGCCATTATCAAGAGCTTTGCAAAGGCACTTGAGGTCATTCCTCGACAACTATGCGACAATGCCGGATTTGACGCGACTGATATCCTTAACAAGCTCCGAGTGGAGCATCGTAAGGGTAACACATGGGCCGGTGTCGATTTCCAGAACGAGGGGGTCGCAGACATGATGGAGCGATTCGTTTGGGAGCCAGCACTAGTAAAGATCAACGCCATTCAAGCCGCAACAGAGGCCAGTTGCTTGATTCTTGGTGTCGACGAGACAATCCGCAATGAGGAGAGCCAGCAGCCACAAGCACCTGGCAAGCCCCTGCCGCCTGGTGCAGCACAGCGAGCTCTACGTGGGCGGGGAAGAGGCATGCCCAGGCGGTAAATCCATGTATTAGATTAGTCATGAGGTTTAGGTCGACGATGTTATGCATTTTGTATGATACCTAGACGGCGTCTCTCTGGACAGCTAGATAAAAGGGGCGGAAATAATTCATAGCCCTATGCGCATTCATCCTCTAATTATGCTGTCGTGCTATTGTGAACCTTGTGGATGGAATATGTTTGCGGCTATTGCCTATCAAGATCCAGCTGCCTTATACTCTAAACACTCTGGGCGGTGCTTGCTCCAGTCCTTCTTCTGGCAGACCGTAGAGCAATATTGCACTCTGTGACATCGTGTGCATTTCTTCAATCGCCCTCCACCAATTGATTCCGTCGCGCCACAATTTACGCAATGATCCTGAGTAGTAGACAAGCGACTGGCCTGCATCTTGATGAGGTTTTCCGTAGAGACAAGGTCTTCAGTCAAGGGCACAGCAAATGTTGGACTAATTGCGACTCGAGTGGCATGGTGCACGCCGACTTCATCCCATCCTGGGAGACCAGCGGTGACGAAACCAGGCGGTAACTTGCCTTTTCCGCAATCACACAAGACTAGCTGACCGTGATCCGTGCTAACAGGCGCCTGATGAACCTTTCTGTACACGCAATCATTCGAATGCGGCCACGCTCGACATCGCTCCACCATAGCTGGTAATACTTGCTTCCACAGCCTCAGTTCGTCTTCGTTTACAATCAAAGTGGCAATCTCAAAATGGCGAAGCACCATGAGGAACTCTCCGAAGGTTGAGTCGAGCAACATGGCGGACGTGACGGGAATCACGGCGGCGTCAAGGATAACAGAACTAGTTGGGCCGTCGAGACGGACAGCAGAAACAAAGAAGAGCATGTGGATTCCCTGTCCACCTTCAACATTGAGGGCCATAAGACCAGACTGCCCACCTTGAACGCCAGACGCCAGCATGAACATTGTCATGACTGTTTCCTTGAAGTTTGCACGCGCGGAAGGCATGATGCCCGTATCGGTACTGGCATGCGCCTCTTCTCGAAGGACTCGCTCTTTCGCGGAGAATTGCATAGAAGCCAGAGTCGTTAAGAAACCAATCCGCTCTTTATCGGTGAGATCCAGGATAGGAAGGATATCCATGTTGATGTATGGAAGGTTCAGTGAGACGATGTCTCCAGCCGCACTGATCTGATTGGGAAAGACAATGTCGGCTGAAGACGCTGCTGTAACTGGGTCTGCGACAAGTACGATGAACTCGACCCAAGACGACTGTCTCGCAACTCGTGGTTTGCTTGCTTTATCAAGTATTATCGGCAAAGGGAATACACACATTGGGGTATAGGTGCTGTTTGCGAAAAGCACGCGGACCATGAAGGGGGACTCTTGTCTCAGTGTAACAACGCAGCGATCAATCAAGAGGAGATCTTTGCCTTCCTGGCTCTTGATACTGACATGAGCAACCATGCCAACAACTTTTTCTAGCTGCTCGTCGACCTTAAGACTGTAATCAACGGAGTAGGGTAGGTCGAGCGGCTTGACGACACTCGGGGATAAGGGTGCAAGGGTGAAGTTGGTGTCAACCTCGTCATTCTCTCCTGGATCAGTGCCGACACATGTCTCGGGGTGAGCAATGGATGTTGCCGCACCCACTTGAGGATGAATGGAAGAATTGGGCTCCTCAGAAAGGCCAGGTAGCATGTGAGTGACTAGAATCTTGTCTATATCGCCAATATCACCAATGACAGTGCTGTCAAGTCTGCCTTCAACCTTGTCGTAGGTTTGTATTGTAAACAAAGTAGGCCTTGGATCGAAATGAAGAATGTGAGACGGCGCATAGAAGCTGATGATCATATCGAATCTACCATCACTTGCAGGTGTAATTCTATCATTTCCGTTAACAATTGAGAAGCTACCATCAGGCTGGAGCTCAATTTTTCCGAAGTTGTATGATAAGGATGCAAACGTATCCTGCTTCGATGATGCGTCTTCATAATATGAAGCAACACTTATCGAAAGCGTCGGGAACGATGCGGTTCCATCGAATATGTTTTTGAATAAATCGCCAGAAACCTGAATGTTCACCACGACAATGTCAGGGATCTGGTCCCAGTCATTGAAACCGCGCAGCTTGCGATCTTCTCGCAACTCAGGGAAGAGGGGCTGGTACACCCCCCAGAGTTTCGATAAAGCGGCAAACTCCAAGTTAAAGTCCGGGATGTTGTCTGTTTCTTCGTAGCTCTGCATCATGAGATGAAGACGAGAGCATACATCATCCCATGGAGCGTTGATTTGGCCTTGCGCAGCTTTGATTAAAGCCACCAAACTGCCTGCATGATATGGAGGAATGGTGGCGTTCTGAGCTAATATTATGCCTCTTCCTGCTCTTGCTCGAAAGGGAGTCCAGTACTGGAGCATTCTCTTATAAATCTTGAAGAGAGTCGTGCTAATTTCTGCCTCCACAGAAGGCCGTTCCGTACAAATGCGAGCCCCGGCAAGCTGATGACTTCTCTTCCAAGATAACCGTAACCGTACGTGCTGCTTAGGCTGGACTTTTCGCACATCGCCTTGCTTTGCAAAGAGCTCGTCAACAGAAGAAGTCACGGTAGCATCAGTGAAGTACTCTATTAGAGTCAGGCCGAGTAGCAAGCCTGTCTCAGATGCACTCCCCAAGAATACTTTCTCAAGCACATCTTTTTGACCTTCATCTCTCTCGACATCCACATCCGTGAATAATGTCGCTGAAACCGAGTTCTTGAGGAGCGGAGAAGCTGACACCAAGATGTTGAGGCCACCAACGTTGCTGATGAGGTCGCCAGTCTCTATTGTGTCAAATCGTTTCGGTGCGGTCTTCTGCGAACCATATTCGACATCGTCGAGCACAAGGCTCTGGTATGTGTACTGAATGTTAGGCCATCCTGCTGTGAGCGCACCTGTCGAGCAATACGTTTGAAGTGCCTGGCAAAATGCTAACGGCTCTGCTGCAGCAAAACGGACAGCAATGTTGTCTGACATCTGGGAGAATGCTTCTGCCCAGGTTGAGAATTGAAGTGCCGCCGTCTGAACAGCCTTGCTAAATTCAACATCTTGATTATGGAGTTGCAGGTCGGCATTGACGGGTCGGAGGGGTGACGAATCCGTCAATGGTGCGAAGGCGGTTGCCAGATGAAACCCCAGTATTGGTAGAGGAACGTCCAGAGAAACCCCTGGCTCAGCCAACGGCTTGAAGAGTGGGTTTGGCATCAAATGTCTAGCCTTGGCGTTGTCAATCGCCGATGTAGACCAGCCAGCTTTGAAACTTGATATGATCTCGTCAGCTGTCTGGATGCCCAAGGGGCCAGCGGAGCGGAGACCAGCGCGGTGCAAGGCATTATGAAGAGCCCCGGCATCCTGGTTCTCGTAGTTGGCAGCGATTCGTCTCAAATTCTCCCAGTAGTGATTGGCATCATCCTGATAGTCCTCACGAGATGTTATCATGCTGTCGATATGCCTGCGGACAGCCTGGAACGTGGCTGTGTCACAAAACCGAATGAGCTGGCCATATTTAGAGGTACACCAGTCGTTCCACGTCTTGATTATGGCCAGTTTGTCGATGCTCTGTAGGATCCGCTTCCACAGATGTTCATTAATGAATGCGCTGTGAAACATAGCCCAGAGGTCTTGCCCATATTCGGCAGCCTCGTCATCATGGAGGATGGTCAAAAGGATCACATTTCGTGCTATTTGAGCTTAGTAAACGGTTCAGACCTGCAGGTGAAAGGAGAAATGCCCACCAATATTGAACACTTTAGCTTCACACCACGTCACATCTAGCTTGCGCTGAGGGAGGTCGTCGTACGTAGGACTTCTAAGTTCAGCTTTGTTGAGGTCTTGCTCAGTGTATGCCGTGTACAGTAGGTTCCGAATACCGCCTTCCAGCACCAGGACATCTGCATCTCCATCACGAGGTAAGTTACGGGTGAGACTAACAGCAGGGGCAGTTCCCCAAGGACGGAACTGCTTGTTACTGGCGATCGCAGTCGGCGCCAACATCGTTACAGCTTCCAGTCGCGCGCTGTCGGGGTTTTGTATTTGCGACCAGCCTCAGTTTGTGGCTCCATAAAAACCAAGGCATGAGGGAGAACAATTATGATGAAGGACTTAAATCATGGCGATTGACCACCTATATGCAGCAGATGGAATCAAGACATGAGATAGGAGCTTTGCTCAGTGGGTTTCACTGCGTTCTTCTTGAATACCTTGGATGGCAGAGGAGAAACGGCGCATGGAAGAATTAGAGCGGGGACGAGTGCAGTGAGTTGGGTCACTACAGCAGATAGCTAACACTCAACTCAATTGTCACCCACCTATCAGTACGTTAAATAGATACTTCACTGGTGCATTTCTCAAGAGCGTCTACTCCAAAAAACAACAAAAGACTTTTGTAAATCACTTGAGTACATAAGTGAGAGCGAGACATGCTGAAGCAATGCGACAGCTTACAAACTATTTTAACGTCATGTAGTTAGTCAAATCATCAAGAACATTTCACAAAGCAGATTCACATTTCAAGAAAACTCGAGTATTTAGCCAAAGCATATATTCACTAATCATCCCAGTAAAAGAATGGACCTCATGTCAGCCGAGAAAAGGGCAAAAGGAGATCCAGCCCCTTCTTCAGCTAACGTTTCCTTGCGCCCAGGGTACCAGTCAGTTCATTTCATTAATCCTCAATCCCGCTTTCGCCGTCTCCCATCAACCATTTCCCAAAATTGATATCCCTATTGTACACATGGGCGAACGATACATGGACAACCGACACGATACAGAAATACATGGGTTCCCAGTCGGAATCTCCGGAAAGACATATGTTCGCGTAGGCATCGTAACAGTATAAGTCGACGAGGAAAAGGAAGCCCAACCGATCTATTATCAAGGCAGAAAACAAGTAGTGTCCGCCATCAGGAAAATTGTCGGTCCAGACCGGGAATTATAGCCGTGAAAAACGAAAAAGCGCAAATCGTGGGGAAGTCTAGGAATCTCCGAAAAACACGTCGTCAGAGTTTGTAAACATGTTGACCGGGTCATATTCGTCCTCAAATTTGCCAGTCATTGAAAATTCACGGTCGAGTTGCACAAGTCCGTCCTCGTTTGTGAAAGCCTGAAGAAGCGAGTCGTCATCCATGTTGAGAGATAGGCCAGAAATGTTGCCAAAGTCTGCTCCGCTGGTGCCACCAATGCTGGTGCGGCCCATCATAGTTGTGCCGAGTCCAATAGACATATCAGTGCCGCTAGAGTTCGGGTCGAGATCAAAGTATCGGGTGCTGCTTGATGGAGGAGGAGAGCTAGATGCGGAAAGCTCTGGTGGTGTGCCGGGTTGATGTGTATAGTGGCTGGCAACACTCTTAGCGGGTGACGATGGTCCCACGACTGGGAGTCCGTCGACAGCGACCACTTCACCATTCGCGATCGACACGTGAGATACATGGGAGTAGTGGCTCATGGCAGAAGGCGATGCAATGTGCTCAGGTGAGCAGACGGCGAGGACCTCATTCATCTCAGCGCTGCTCATTGCAAGATTCGGCATTGGCGCAGTTGAGACGCTTAAGGCAGTCGGGTTCATTGGCATTGTCGTTGAGATTGGTGATGACCTCTCTACCTCAGCCATGCCGGCTTCCATAATCTCAGCAAAAGGCTTGTCGTCAAGCATGTCAAAGTCATTCATCGGCGAATTGGCTGCGGAGCTGTCAGAGTATCCGGATTGCGACGATGACGAGGAAGGTGATCCTGTTGCCCTGTTCTTGTTTCTGGTGCGAGAAGACTTGTCAAGACGAGAGTCCATGTCAGGTCGGTTCTTTCTTGGACGACCACGCTTGACAACTTTGCGTACAATCCCATCGAATGCACCAATACACATGCCTCTCTGTCGGTGACGAGTCAATGCATCGTGGCGAGCAAAACTGTTACCACATTCGCAGGGGTAAGGCTTGATCCCAGTGTGTATCTTGGCGTGTCTCTTCAAGTCATGCTGACGAACAAAGCACTTCTTGCAGTTTGGGCATTGATACTGGCGGTCATTAAGATGCGTCTGGACGTGAGACTTGATATTCTCCTTTCGCCCGAAACGCTTGCCACAGTCATCATACAAGCAAAGCCACTTGCCGTCAGTTGGGTCTGGTCCCTCTATAAACTGTGCGATATCTTCAGGGTTCACTCCGGTCTCAGTTTTTGTCTCCTCGATGTTGATACTTGCAATGCTTGCAGCGCTGGCGATGCTAGCGATTGATTCTGTTCGTCTGTGAGGGGATAGTCGTCGGGACGGAGAGTCTGTCTGGGATGGCGATCGGCTTGCATTCTGGTGCTGAGGAGTCATGGTCAATTGGGAGTCGCAGTCGGGAGGCTGAAGATCTGGCCTGCTCTCAAACGCCGGGCCGTTGAAGGAACCCATGTACGGCGTGTGAGGGGACGCATGCAGGGAGTTCGGCTGAGCAGGCAAGCCATTGTAGGGATTTTCAATCTTCATGAACTCTGCGTTGACATTGCTCATGTTCATGTAATCGCCAGTTGGCATGCTTCCTGCGCCGTATCCTCGTCCTGATGGAACCATTTGTGATCTTGGCGGTGTTGGCATCACAGCCTCAGCTTGCTGTCTCATCTCCTGGAAGATCCCAGAGGCTCGGTTTGATCTGTTGCGATTTGGTTTGATTGTTTCCTCCATTGACTCATCATAGTCATCGGAGAATCTCTGTGGTCGTGGGTCATGCTTGGCCATCCTATCGTGTGGTGTTTCCATCGGTGTTGGGGGGAAATAACCTGAGTCTCGGTAAGTATATCATCCATGAGATTACTGGGTGAATCACCACTCACTTGCTCCATTCTGGTTTGGTGGAGTCATAGGTCTTTGGACTGTCTCCATGCCCATGTTCTCGAACTTCGATACTCGATCCATGATCCCGTTGCTAATCCTCCTTGAGGACCGTCTTGTGCTCGACGTGTCACCCTCGGAGGTCCAGCCTTGTGCAGTGGTAGGGCTCTCTTGGAAGTTCATGAACGTGGGCGAGGAGAGAGAACTTTCTTGTCCAAAGAGCTCAAAGTCCTGAGCACCAGCCATGTTGTTGGTGAAACTGGCTGGGCTCCTCTTCACTGCAAGGTTGATGGGAGCACCGTACATATCGTAGCCGACACCCACGCAATCTGGCTGCTGGGGCGAGGCTGTCAGACGATCGTAGCAGGCAGCATCAAACCTTCGCGAGTGTGGTGTCGAGTGCGGCGAGATCAGGTAGTTCTCGTCGTTCGCCATGTTGGCGTAGGGCTGGCCATGGCCCGGGCGTGCTATGCGTTGCTGCTGCGCTTCTCGCAGTACATGCTGTTGTGTCGTTGTTAATCCTGTGTTAGTCTGTTCACTTACCGTTGTGAAGTCCTGCCGAAGTGGTGTTGGTGGAGATCGCAATTGTTGTCGTCGGGTGTCCAGGCTCATGCCTCGTCGGTGGGACACATTATGCTGCGATTGTTGGCGTTGAATATTGGGCAGGTGTGCAATCTTGACCGCTTCGAATGCCGTGGGCGTCGAGTTTTGTCGTCGATGCTGCCGTTGGCGCGGGTGCAATTTGCTTGTGGTCGGATTTGACAGCATTGGGAATGCAAGTCGAGTTCGGAATTGTCGTTGTCGTTGAAAAGTTGTCGCAATTAAGCGTACCTATCTATAGGTTCCGAGACTATCGTTGCAGGCCTGTCAGCTTTGCTCCTCGAGTCGTTGTAGCATAGAGGGAGCCGTACCTCACGCAGCGCAAGCCAGTAGGCCGGGCAGATGGGATCTCGTGGTTGTGCTCAGTCGAGGTCGACTTCGCAAGAGACAATTGTCTTGTGGTTGAAGAGCGCCTTCTATGGGCGCGGTTACAGTTGTGAGAAAGCTCTACCCGTGTAGGGGCTGTCTCAACTGGATTGCCAGATGGTTTCTTTTCAGATGTGTGTCTGTGTTTGTTTGAAGCTTGGTGAGATCAAGATTGATCGAGTTCTTGGTGGAGTGTCAGGTTTAGTTTGGGAGATGCAGGAGAGGTAGTAGCAGTATGTACGCTATCTATTCAGAATAGGATGGGTACAGGCAGCCGGGGCGGGTGGTGACGACTGGAAAGTCAACACGGGTCGCCGTGGTTGCCAGGCAACGTGCCAGCTGCGCGCCACCCTCCGCCACTGCCCACCTGTGTCCATCTGTTCCCACCTGGTGATCGGCCCATAGCTCTGCATAGCTCACAGCTCCGTAACCCCCTGCAACCCATTAAAGTTCGTACTAGGGCTCTCGCTAACGTCACCCAGCAGCGACGCTGCGATGGCGCTAGACGAAACACACTTGCACTGCTGCATCTCGGTCCAGGATCTTAAGATACGGCTGGTAAGGACAGGCCTGCGAAGCCATGCATCGGCGATTGGGCAAAGAAAGCATTCACCTGCGACATGTGATTGATGGACGGCCTTCTTTTGTTATCTTACAAGATCTCTATTAATTATGCCTCCATCCCTATACCAGACCTCTTATTTCAAAAGAGACGGTCCTTTTCTTATTCCTGTTGCTTAGGCTGCCTGAAAGCAGGAACATGACACCATCAAAACAATCTGGCCAGACGGTATATGATAACTTCAATTAGGCTCTTATTCTGGCCTAAATCCTCAATGGCTACGGTCAAGCGGATCCGAGGGCAAGCGTTGCTACAACTGTCAAGCGATCAGAGGTGTAGTAGCAGAGTCCATTGTCGGCTTTGGACAAACGGTTCCAGAAAACCAACAAGCCACGTCACTCCAACATTACATTCCTCTCACACAGCTGCTTTCGGACTCTGAAGTCTTCCTGATCTCGGCACCAAGGCGCCCATGCAGCTCTCCAGTGTCATTTTCGTCTGTGAAATATCCAGATTGTGCGACAAAGGGACCCAGAGGTTAACGCCGACCTTGGATGCAGAGTAATAGAATATGTCGCCCGTGCTATTGCAGGATGACCGTGACATCTCTGAACCTAATGATTCGCTCTCATATATCAAAATTACAATCTAAGAAGAGTTCGATCAGATCTCCTGACTCCTTAAGAGTAACAGGGGAGCATACAAGAGAAGATGAGTCGATTTGCCGTTTTGCGTCAGTGGGAGAGGAGATTAAACAGACACCTAAAAGGTTATCTTGGTAACAATGTTTGCGAAAACATAATTTTTGAGATGGCCGGCCCCATTCGACTTCATGTCCGATGATTCCCAGCTGTGGCACAAGGAAGCCGAGCAATTCCCTGCAGAGACGGACGCTTTGTGCCTGACGCCGGACATCCAGCCAAAAGATGGGAGTTTATGCAACCAACAATCCGAATGCAGACGGCGATCCGGACCAAACCTCGGTGTTGAAAGGAAGTCCTATGCTCCACTGGAGTTTATTTCATACAAAACACAGTAGTATAGAAACCTTCAAGATTAATGTCTTTCCCGCGCCTTTCAAGATCTCGCCAGGAAGCTCGCGCTCGTGGTGAGTCAGAGTCGGCAGGACACTTGAGCTCTCATAGAGTTCCTACTGCAACAACTCGTGGTGAATGAGGTTATCATATCGGTAATGAATAATGCTTCTGTAGCGCCGGAGCGGCCCGTTTAACTTTCTCCAGCAGAAAAGGCGTGCTGGTAAACTGAAAGACTCGACCTTTGTCGATTACATTGACGGCTATATAGACTATCTAGGTACTGTGCGAAGCCGAGACAGATGCGTGCGATTGCGAACAAGGCTACCAAGGGCACCACTTTTGAGGAATAATGCAGGCGTTTTCGATGACAAGCCAGTGTAGCTATGGCTTATTAGGTCAAGTATACAAGAAGTGAGCCTTTCCAGATGGTGTGATTGCTCCGCTGGAACCACTCGATAGCCATGATGCCTCGCCTATGCGAACTTTGCTCTGCAAGAAACCCCCACGAGTTCCTCTGAGCAGCAGCGAAGAGAGTGTTTTGTAGTGGGTGACTGTCTCTGATTTATTAGGCGCACTCCTCCAATAATGTGTTGCGCGGCACGTGCGGTTCGCATGTCATTTCGCTGGAGCGGCAGCTGACCCCGGGCCAATTTCGTGGCTCGTGCGTCGCCGAGACAACAAGCTCGCTCACTCGATATCGCACAGCAAAGGCGACCACCCGTAATTCTCCTACCTCCTTCTCGATCGAGGCTCATCGACGACTGCCACTTTTCGGTCATCTCATTGGGCAGAGCAGCTTTTTGCTGGCAAGTCGCAAACTCTTTTACCCGCCGACGTGTTCTATACCCATAGCACGCCGCATACGCGCCTGCATTCGCCTATCTTCCGCTGCCGAACCTCCGTGTTGATAACCTGCTGAGTTGTCTGTACAATGTCTGGCACCGTCAGAGGCACGCCCAATCGTGGCCAGGGCCGGGGAGCCATCCCTTTTGCCAACAGCCCGGCGACGTCCAACATACCTCGACCAGTGCTCGAGAACACACACAGCAGCAATGCCGCTATCAGCGAGGCCGGCGGATCATCTGTTAGTGCCAGCAGGCAAAAGCAGTCCAAGAGAGATGAGGTATGCCAGCAATCATTAACAGTTCAAACCGAGATAGAAAAAGGGCGATATCTGATCATCATATATAGGCAATTCGTCGGAAGATGGAGAATGATCTCTCCAAAAAGAAGCACCTAACAAGCCGAGCTCGACACTCTCGCAAAGCCCCTCCTGGAACTGTCCTCGCCCTAAAGCCCAGCCAGGCTCTCCAGATAAAGCCCCAGACGACAGTAGCCGAGGCCGCTCAGTTGATGGCCGCGAAGCGGGAAGACTGCGTGCTCGTGACGGACGACGATGATAGGATCGCCGGTATCTTCACTGCCAAAGATCTTGCATTCCGTGTCGTCGGAGCTGGTCAGAAAGCGACAAGCGTGACAATTGCTGAAATCATGACGAAGAACCCTCTTTGTGCTCGTACGGATACCAGTGCCACAGATGCGCTAGATCTCATGGTCCGAAAGGGTTTCCGGCATCTGCCTGTCATGGACGAGAACCAGGACATCTCAGGTATTTTGGATATCACCAAGTGCTTTTACGATGCCATGGAGAAGTTGGAGAGGGCATATGCCTCCTCCAGGCGGCTTCACGATGCGCTGGAGGGCGTTCAGTCTGAATTGGGTGCCAGCCAGCCTCAACAGATTATTCAATATGTTGAAGCACTGCGCTCGAAGATGTCTGGTCCTACCTTGGAATCTGTCTTAAACGGGATGCCACCCACGACTGTGAGCGTCAGAACATCCGTCAAGGAGGCGGCCCAGCTCATGAAAGAACACCACACCACTGCTGTCCTGGTTCAAGATCATGATGCTATCACTGGTATCTTTACCAGCAAGGACGTCGTCCTTCGTGTCATTGCTCCAGGCTTGGATCCTGCTACATGCAGCGTTGTCCGAGTTATGACTCCCCACCCTGACTTTGCTCCAATGGACATGAGCATCCAGGCAGCCCTCCGCAAGATGCATGGTAGGTTTTGCCCTTTGACCCTTTAACATCTATGTACTAACGATGCCCGCAGATGGGCACTACCTCAATCTCCCGGTCATGAACGAGGGAGGCGAGATCGTCGGCATGGTTGATGTTCTTAAGCTGACCTATGCTACACTCGAGCAAATCAACACGATGGGCAGCAGTGACAGTGAGGGCCCAGCCTGGAACAAATTCTGGCTTTCTCTGGATCACGAGACGGAATCCATGGTGTCTGGTGATGGCAGCCACCACCACACCAATATGGGATCTCGTTCTCTGATGTCCCCTGACATCACTCGCGAACGCGTCAACGACAGTGTCGCACCTGGTGACTCAGCTTCGCATGCTGGGATCGAGTCCCCAGCACACTCGGTAGTTGCTGGCACCCCTGAGTTGCCCCCGAGCGAGATCCCCTTCCCATTCAAGTTCAAGGCCCCAAGCGGCCGCGTCCATCGTCTTCAAGTCACCGCCGCACAGGGCATTGAAGCCTTTGTTGCCAATGTCACTGCTAAGCTTGGCTCGGAGGTCGAGGCTATTGGCGGTGCGCCGACTGTAGAGGACGGCAAACTGTCAGGTGCCGGCTACGCCCTAAGCTACCTTGACGACGAAGGCGACTCCGTTTCAATCACGACAGATCACGATCTGCTGGAGGCCATCATTCTTGCTCGTCAGAACAGGAGGGACAAGGTTGATTTATTCGTCCATGATCCTGAGCAACCTCCCATCACGGTTGCCGCACCGCAGCCTGCTCTGCCAGTAGAGGCTGTGCCCACCCCTCCGGCATCTTCCGTGCTCCGTGAACGCCGAAGAGGGTATGATGGCGAAGACGACAGTGAGGAGGACGAAGAGGAAAACGAGTCTACTATCCGCCGCTCGCGCAGGACACGAACTGCCACGGCACCTACACAGGAGCAGGTCATCGCCGGTGTGCCTAATGAGCTGTTGCTGCCGGGTGCCATTGTGACGCTTGCCGTAGTTATCATCGGTGTGTTTACCATTTCTAGGGTGTCGAGTAGATAAGAACCCGCCCTTGCACGTATAATACCCCCCTTGAACCAGCAGGAGAAGTTTTATGAGACCAGATATCATTGAGGAGGCGTCGGAGTGTAGATATGTATACACAGTACCAAACTGCATAGACTAATACGCATATCACTATCGCTTGACCATGGTCACTGTCTGGCTCTGATAATAAATTTCCGTGCGTGCGTGTTTCTGCCGAATTGATGCGAAATAATCGTTGCGGACTTTACGCTTCCCGTCTATCATGTTCAACCTAGAGTTCTATTTTTTAAACTACTACGGGCTCAAATGGAACAAATTCCCAGATGACTGAGAATCGGCACCGTAGCTTGCTCTCTCATCCTTATCATTTTGCCCTGCTCGTTCCCCAGCCTCTCTGGGCTGTTTGTGAACTTCCTTGCCCTTGGTGCCCTTGTCATTTGGAGACGAGTCGGGCACCCGCAAGTAATGAGGACTTGAAATATAAGCAGTCCCTGCTTGAGGGAATGGAGCCTTTTTCTCAGTGCCGGGCCTGCTGCCAGGAGTTTGAATAGGTTTGGCCCTCTGAATGCCCAGACTTCTTGCTGCGTCTACTTGGGACACAAAGTCTTTTAGATCGTCAATATCTTTGACCGCCCGCTTCACATCACCCTCGTCGTCCGCGTCTGAAGCGCCCACCGAAGATGTTCCAGAGGGCCTGGAAGCTCTGCGGTGATAGTCTGCTGAGTCGAAACATTCCATACTGCTTGCTAAGGACACTGCTCGGAGTTCCTGTCGTCGCTGCTGACGCTTCAGTAGCTGCTCTCGGCGTGCCTGATACCGGAAGTGAAGCGGAGGCGCTGGCGTGTCCGAACTGGCGTTGTCGGCGCTTCCACTAGCTAGGTACCCGGAATCGTCTTCTGGAGAGTCGCTTGCCGACATTATTTGCAGACGAGCTCTAGGCTCAGCTGTCAGTTTCGAGTTGATTGGAATCTTAAATCGGTTGTGGTCCTTCTCTTTGAGAAGAGTCGGACTTTGTACCTGAGAAAGCAGAGTTCTATGAGACATGCTTTCTGTATATATAGTGAGCAAGTCATACAGGTTACGATGTGGTTTGTCTTTTTGTTAGCAATGATGTGTTAATTTCATCGTAAGATAACCGGAAAGCCAGTTGCGTCAAGGTGCTGAGTCTCTGTGGTACTAGCAGTCTCAAGGCAAATGAATACGCATTCGCACCCGTTTCCATAGTTGCGTTGAGTTGACCTTAATACTATTACTCAGTGTGCCACAAGAAACGTGAATCCGTGGCATTCTGTGACTGTGTACTCAAGTTACTATTTTGTAATCGCTGAGTGGCTATGTAGTAAAGTTGTGATACTCAGCAAGCAAACAATCCTCATCATAGATTGCGATCACGCTCCGGACAACCGGTATTTGGATCCTTATAAACATAAAATTGCTTATGTCACACCCGGTTAGAGTCTATTTGTTTGGCCGCCCATCACCCTTTCACTCAACAACATGTGCTTAATGACTCAGAATATAACAGAAGACTATTGCAAAGTACGTCAAATCTTGATATACAAGTAGCTTGGAGTAAGTACACAATTGCGAAACGCCGTGGTAGTTCAACACACCGAAAGTTGGTTTCGCATTTAATTTATAATTCAGTATTATTTTGCGATTTTACGAATATCTTGATTTTGGGGCAGATTCAATAGATGCAAGACACATAGAAAACCTCGATGGTATAAGTCAAAAAGAATTTAGTCGAAATTCATTTCTTGTCCCTACATGCATCAGATTTATTGTTGGCCTTCAACAACATACTCAGAATGTTTGAGAGAAGGACGGTTGATGTTCATGGCCAGGGTTTAGGTAAGCCATCCGTCGCTAAGTGTTGTGGTGTGGGGCTATGAACCGCACGACCTCTTCGCACGGGCCAATCATCTGAAGAAGCAGCAGCTCTGGATGTTCAGTTTTTTGGCGGTCGCATCACGAATCCACGACGACGTGCAGCAGGCATTGAGTTGCGCAACTCGCTTGCCACATCCTAGCTGCAATGATAATCAGAAATTTAGCAGGGAGGCATGGTATGTATATATCTCTAGACAAGCCGTATCGTCCCTAACCCATGATTAGGCCGGAAGGCTCTTGCTGCACCGATCAGACGATCTTGGCTTCGAGCTCTCACGACCGAGACAAACGAACCGACCTCGACTGCTGCAGCTGACGATGTTGTTGTGAATGCGTCACAATCATCCTCATCGACACTGCAAGACTCCCCATCGACCCCTTTCCGCAATCCCGCGATCCCTTCCCGCAAGGCAATAGTTGCCGCTGCTGTTGCCAATGACCACCTCACATTCACCAGGCTGCAGCGGAAGACAGCCCATCTCGGATCAGTAGTTGAGAGACGCTATTCACCAGGCGACCTGCTCAAGAATCCACCGGCTCCCAAGGATGTCACTCTTGAGCTTCTGATGGCATCCCAGACTCACCAGGGGCACAACACAGCTCTCTGGAACCCGGTGAACTCGCGATATATCTACGGTGTCCGACAGGGCATTCACATCATCTCTCTCGAACAAACGGCATCGCATCTCCGTCGAGCGGCGCGCGTTGTCGAGGAAGTGGCATACAATGGCGGTCTGATCCTCTTCGTTGGAACCCGGAAGGGGCAGATGGAGATCGTGACGCGGGCGGCGGAGCTTGCAGGAGCCTATCACCTATTTTCAAGATGGACACCTGGAACAATCACGAATCGAGACCAAATCCTGGCCGCAGGCCGCGTCGCAATCGTTGACGAGAACGACAGGCCCTTGGATGGCTTCCAAGAGCACCTGCAGGACCGCCGACCGGTAATTCCTGATCTGGTGGTCTGCCTAAACCCTTTGGAGAATTGGACCTTGCTGCACGAATGCGCACAAGAGAACATCCCTACGATTGGCATCATTGACACAGATGCCGATCCTACACAGGTCACATACACAATCCCAGCAAACGATGATAGGTGAGTACCACGGGGAGTGCCTTGCAATCTAACGAGACTAACGCCCTGGACAGTTTGCGATCTGTTGCAGTTATTGCGGGAGTGCTGGGACGCGGTGGAGAGCTGGGCCAGAGCCGGAGACGACAGGCCGCCAAGAATGGCGTCGTCACATGGGAGAATCCGGAGGATGTCAGCAGGTTCATCTCGGCAGACTTCACAAAGCGCAGCGAGGAGTCGAATAGAGTGATGGAGGAGTTGAAGGCTCGTGAGAAACTGGAAGAAAGAGAAGCCATGAACAGCCTGTGGAGATCAGGCGTGTAAGCTGTCTGCTGTCAACGGTAAAGACATGTAGACATACTGTACAAATATCCATAGAAAAAAGATGTACAACAATTATACCGATCAAAGGAAGTGTCTATATACTCTTGCGCAAGCCGTCTTTCAATACCTGCTTCCGAACTCTTGCAAAGCAGGCGGTTAGAACAACGATAGAATGGGTATCGTGTGTTGCACCATTCAACGTACGCAATCATTGCTCATGCCCTAGCAAAAGTCTACAGTCAAGTACTTAGAGGACACTGTGTACTTGACTGTGGCGCTTGAACGGTTAAAAGGTTGTGCTGGCGCCTAGTACAGACCTAAGCTCGGGAGCCGCGAGAGACGCGGAGCGGCCGGACTGAAAACTTCACCTGCGCATTTCCCCTCATCGAGGACACTTCAGCGAACCTTGTCAGTTGCGCCAGTCTGTCACATCACGTCACGCCACAGACAGTTACACACTGGGCACGCACATCTACGCCCAGGCTGTGCTGACGCTTGCATTCTGCATTGTTCCGGGTCGCAGCTGGAGCCGTCGGGTTCTGAACGCTCAGCCCACCGCATAGTAGGATCTCGGTAGGATACCCGCATTCTTCTATGCAGCATTCTCCCGTTGTTCCCCGCCGTCTTCAACCGACGAACTGGTTACACAGCCAGTGGAATGCCTCGTCTTGGCTAACACATGTACTAGTACTTATAGCATACGTTGTTGGGGTTTTGCGTCTGTAGAAGTGACGGTTCTGCGTGCACCTTGCCGTGATTTGTGTCGTCCGCCAGTATGCCGGCAATTATGGATGATCCGGACTCTCCCACCATCTATAGGGTTTCGGGAGAGCCTCCATATCCGGACCCGAACACCCCGGCCCTGCCGGCAAACATCCTCCCGCGCCAGGTGACTCTCCGAGATCGTCAAACGGTTGCTACTGTTGTGCCGTTTGCGTCTCGGCACCAGGTGCCCCTTTCACTGGTCAATTATCTGGCTGACCAGTTTGCCAAGGAAATTGAGGGCGGCGATACGTACCCCATGATTGAGCCCATGTCTCGGGAGAGGTTTGCCTCGTATTGGTTCCAGAATTTTGGTGCCATTATGCTTCTCGGCAGCATTGACAGCCCGGCTGACGTCGTTGAAGGCAAGGACTGGTCCAAGGAGTGTTTGGGCAGCTTCTATATCAAGCCCAACTACCCCGGCCGCAGCAGTCACGTCTGCAATGCTGGGTTTTTGGTCACCGATGCTTCCCGAAACCGCGGCGTTGGTAGGCTCATGGGCGAGAGTTACCTTGACTATGCTCCCAAGCTGGGCTACACGTACTCGGTCTTCAACCTGGTCTATGAGACAAACGTCGCCTCGTGTAAGATTTGGGACGCACTCGGCTTCAAGCGTATCGGACGTGTCAAGGGGTGCGGAAATCTCAAGAGCTATCCTGGCCGGCTTATTGATGCCATCATCTACGGGCGCGATCTCGTGCTGGGCGAAAGCGACGAACTCGTGAGTGAAGAGCGTTTCGACAAAATCAAATTCTACCTCAAATACGGCAAATATCCCAAGGGGGCTGACCGCGCCGAAAAAAGCAGGCTCCGCAGCGCGACGACGCACTACAAGCTAATTGACGGCGATAAGCTCATGCTGAAGGACAAAGAGGTCATCTCGGACCCGCAACAACAATACGAGATCTCTCGCCAGGTCCATATGCAGCAGCACGGGGGTATCAACAAGACTACAGCCACGATCACCGAGAAGTACCACTGGAGTCGCATCAAGGAAACGGTTTCCGATGTAATTAGGAACTGCACTGAATGTAAAGAGTTGGGCAAGACGCCTGTTCCTGGCAACTCAGTGAACCAAAAACGCCCTAACTTGAACGCCGTGTCTACTGTACCCTCACCAACGCCGCCCGCCTCAGGGGAAATGGCTGCCCCGAGGAGAGTGCCTCTCCCAGAACCTCAACTTTCCCCGTATGCCGTTGCTTCCAATCCTTACGCGAATCCGAGCGAGCTTTCCGTAATGTCGCCAGCGCAGACTCTTCATACGCCAACAGAGTCCCCCATTCCCCCACACGCCAATCTTCCCGGTCACAATCCTATGCTTCAAGACCAATCTCATCGCTTGCACCCGACCTCCCACCCTTCCCACCATGCGGGGAGTGCTGGCCTGCCTCTATCAGACCATTCAGTCTATCAGCCTATCGATCCTCAGATCATCAGCCAACCCTCTAGCTACGCTCATCACCATCCCGTGCATCATCACGACTCCTACGGGTCGTACCACTCACACCACCACAATGATGCCGATGCGGACACTTTCCAAGCACTACTAAACGCCACAGATGATGTAGATCACGACTCAGCTCACCAGCACCTGCCGCACAACCACGACCCACATCACCGCACGGCTGAGGAGGAGGAAGCAGACCGTGAGGCTGTGGACCGCGACCTAGACATGCTAATAGAACCTCAAGACGACGATGACGAGCCGCCGGATATGGACATCGATATCGGTGTTGGAGGCAACCACGATGATTTGTCAAAGATGAGCGTCACGCATCTGCTCTCAGCGCCTGAGGCCGATGGGGCTGCATCGAAAGATCCCGAAACACCAAAAACGAGAGATATGTTTGACGTGGAATATTCTGCCCCAGGATGAATAATCATTGGTTAGACGCCGTGCTTTCATATTATTGTATTCCGCCAAGCTAGGCTAGATGCTTGGATTGATCCATCATCTTCTCGGTGATAACATCTTTGAAGTCAAATTCAGGAATGCGGCGATGTGGAAGATAGGTCATTGGGAGGGGAAAGAAAAGCGTTGCCTTCGGCAGCTTGTCATTCGCCTTCAACTTCGAATGCTCGCTGAGCCGAAGCATATGACACCACCGAAACCACCCAGTAAAGTCGAACGAGGATATAGCTCGTGTGATCACCTAGTTCCCGCTCATGATATTGGTGAACGATGGTAAGGTGGCGGAGTCTGGGGAAGAAGCTCGTGGTCTTGACCAAAGCAAGTGTGACTGCTCGCATGTCGTTGGGCTTGGGCGGCTTCCAAGCAATTGCCAGCTGTTGCAGGCGCCCGCAATCGCGACGGAACTCTTCTTGTTCTGCACATGCACTCAAAGCCGCAATGAATTCGTCTCTTCCTGATTCTAGGTATAAATCGCCCCGGAGCTAAAGGAGGAGAGCATCACGTTCGAAGTTGAAGAAGGCTTCTTCGGGCGTACCAGCCGCTCGAGGATCACTTCGGAATGCTCGCTGGTAGCCTGCGACTTTGTACTCGGAGCTACACACATTCTGTGGGCGAGATGAAAAAAATCTTTTCATGTACACGCGATCGTCGCTGGTATGCATTGTGATGCTAGGCGTGCCGCCGGGAGCAGGTTTTGTCGAAGAACTCTCCAATATCTCCATATCAGTCTGTACTGCTGGTGCCAAGGCTTGCCCAACGACAGAAACTTCTCGAGGCTCATAGTATTCGTGATGATGGTGAGCATCTGTCAGGATCATCTCGAGAGGCACTATTCTCTCCGGTAGACAGTAGGAGTATATATTTGCTCGAATTTCGGGCGGGAGACTTATGCGACGAGTTGCCATATTGTGAGCCTAGGACGGTGCTTGAACGCCTTGAATCGTATAGTGACGCCCAAAGAGCGATGGCTTGTATTTTCTTGTTGACCACGGAATTTCACTGAAAGAGAGAGGCTTCCGAAGTAGTAGCGCAGAGAATACAATGGAAAGCTTGAAAGCATGAAAACATCTTGAAGAACGACAAATGAATCACGTGGATGTGTTATATCCCGCAATCATCTTCCAATTACTTGAGCTCGGAAGGAGGAGCTCAACACAATTTACGGTAATACGCGTACGTGATACCAACGCAATCCCTTAGGTACCAAGGGTGAGGTGTTTACGGTTCCAACCGTGCTAGGTGAACCAATGGTCCAAGATTTTCTATGTCACTTCGGCACATGGCATCTCCGTAGTTCAGATAGATCTTCTACGTAGACAATGGGCTCTAGATACTGAGTATGACAGACTTAGAACAGTAACGTCAACCTAGACAGACCTTATAGTACCTTTTTGTTTAAAGTGAGCTTCTCGTAATTCTTGAACAGCGGCGATCTACCTATTATTGCTCTCCCTCCACCCCTCGATTGGCTAGCTAGAAGTTGGCGAACTCAACCTAGAACCTCACATACGATAATATTCGCTTATACATCGGTTGAGCGTAGTAGGCATCCAAAAACGCAATATCATCATCAGTCAGGGGCCTGCGACCTGTCTTCAAGTCGGCATTCTTGGGATGGACGAATTTCGTGCGGAAAACGACCTTGTAGCCGAGGTACGCAACGATGAAAATAGGCACGCCCAAGAAAGTCTGGAAAAATGCCTCTGCAGAGGGCTCTGCGCCGATAGGGAAGAGCGAGACATAACCTGTCGCAAAAAGCACCAAGAATGAGAATATAAATAGGTAGACCGATGTCAAGGGGTATGCGCGAAGCTTGAAAGCATGTGGAAGCTTCCAAGCAGGATCATTTTGCAGTTTGATGGCACGGTGCATTTGCCAGTTGCTGAGAGAGATCGTCATCCATGCCATGAAGTACACGGTCGATGCAATGGAGCTGAACCCTGTTTGAATAAATTTAGCGTTTGTGCCCGGAATCATTATGCTTTTGTACGTACAAGTGAAGATGATAGCACCGGTGTTCGAAACATTGATGTAAGTCATGACTGTAGCGAAAACTCCCGTGACCAGAAGTGAGTAGTAAGGTCGTCCCTTCTTATCCACGCGGCCCAAAACGCTTGGCAGCATTCCCATTCTTGACATGGCTTGCATGGCTCGGGAGGCAATGTACATGGCCTCAGCACCAATGGCCACAAGACCAATAATGATAACCACATTGAGAAGATCTGGAAGTCCCTTGATACCGGCGTTGGCCATCGAGATAACGAAAGGAGAGGCAGCGACGGTGCCAGTAGCCAGCAGGCGCTCATCGTCGTATCTGACGAGAAGACCGATGAAAATGGTAGATAGCTCGTAAAAGAAGATGATGCGGACGAAGAGGTTAGTGCATGCCCGAGGCATGTCCCAGCGCGGTCTCCGTGCCTCGCCTGCAGTAATGCCCATAATTTCCTGACCACCAGTGGCCCACGCAGCAAGTGTAAAGGTTTGGCAGACGCCCTTAAAGCCGTTCGGAAAGACTGGAAGTTCCTTGTAGTTTGCGCCGTGGTTTGTTGACCCGGTTGGACCAGCACCGCCTAGCATCGCAATACATGCGAAGAGAATGATAATCATAGCAGTGACCTTGGCAGCCGCCGTGGCGAATTCGAACTCGGCAAACCAACGGTTTGGCATGGCATGAATGCCAAAGACAAGAACAAGATAGACAGTCATGCAAGCGGCAGTCGGGATGGCCGTTGTCCAGTATCTAATTATGTTAGCTAATTGTCTGCACAACTATATACTCAGGAAGGCCCATACGTAAGAATAACACGGACAATCGCTCCTTCCGCTGATACGACTGTCATCCATGCTGTCCATTCGCAGAATCCTAGAGACCGTCAGAAAGAGTGGCAAGCCGGGAGTTGGTGTATTGTGTCATTTGTACCAATAGCGAAACCCAAAGCAGGGTCAACGAAACGCGACGCATGATCGATGAAGCTTCCAGTGGTTGGAAATAGACAGGTGTTCTCTGTCAAGACATTCATGACAGCAAGGGCCTATCAGAAGATATCAATATATGTGTCTCGTCTTCTCATTGTCATCTTACTGACCAGAGAGCAAATAAGGCTATAGCCGATGATCATAGCTGGGGCACCGCCATAGTGTAGTCTGAAATGGTCAGTTTTAGTTCACGTGGACAAATATCCTTGTGACATACGCCTGAGTCCTGTTAGTCTTGAAATTGGGAGAATTGGATGCACTCAGGCTTGCTCACCTTTCCAGTACTGATGAAAATACCGCTACCAATACATCCACCTAATCTTGTGTTAGTGTAAGTCGGATTAGAGACCTCCGCTGTTCATACCAAGACAAATCATCTGAATGTGACGAGAAGTAAAGGTTCGGTGGAGTTCTCGAACACTCTTGCCACCTTCGACATCGCCAACGTGTCCTTCGGCATAGCTGCTGCTATCCTCGTGAATCTGTGGAGAGGTGCTGACCTTCTTCTCGTCGGCAGCGGTGTCTGACATTGTGTCTTGTAGGGGAGATAGGAACTGGATGGACGAGAAAGATGAGCAATGCCCTGGCGGAAGAGTGAGGAAATCACAACAAGCTTTCAATTATGGTTTAGGGACGTGGTAGTCTTATGCATTCTGAAGTTATCTAGGCTAGGATGTATTGTCGTCCGAGCCACGTGAGAGACTACGATCTAAGTTCGCTTAACCTCTCAATTGGGATGCAATCTGCCCAGTCATGTCAAGGGAACAGCCGTCTCATACCTGCAGCTGGCTTTCCGTGGCGATAAACGCCCCTACATGGTAAGCTTATCGCAAGGTAGAGCTGCACCTTAGATGCCGGTGGTGGCACAGTTACACCGAATAGACGCACTTTCATTGCAGGCCACGCCATTACCTGCCGGCAGACAGATCAGCACGACTGACAATCCGGTTTGCTCCTGGTGAGGAGTCGCACAGCAACGCGAGGGTTATCTCTCAGAAGTGGAGAACGCCGTCCTGCCTTATCTCTCCCTCCAGGGTGAACTACCAACTTGGCGCGTGTTATCTATGGATATTCGATAAGACCGTCGTTGCCGTCCCCTGGTTCCCCGAGACTACTGCGTAGTAAGGATCAGTATCTAACCGTTTCTACATCAAGTATATCAGTAATTCTGGGATCCTGATAGGTTGTCGTGTTCAAGTCGCACGCTAGGCATCTGTGTCCTCCCTGTTGAGAGACAAGTGGGTGCCGTTACAGAGTTGTAGATTACCCCACTTCACTTTCATTCGATACTTATTACGGTATGAATTATTAAAGGAGCCTGGAAGACACAGCGCGTAAGGAGATCACGAGACTCCCGAAACCTAGTACGAAAATTGAGCTGGGCTCATATGTCGTTACGGCTATGGAAAGCGTCTGAGGTTCCACCAGCCCCTAGTCTACGATAGAGCAGCAGTCCAATAGGCGACATAGACTCTTTCAGAACGCACACGGATATATCGTGATCTTTGATAGGGTTAAAGAAAGCCTAGACAATCATCGTCAATTGTCATCAGAACTAGATAACCTTGAAGCAATCTAGGCCGCTGCAAACAAACTCCACGCTAAAACACCACATACCCAACCCTTATTCTACGCTCTAATGCCCAAGCCCATCCAATCGCCTCCTGTAAAGGTCTATCATCCATTATATTCGTCATAGCCTCGCACAGCGTTAAAGGAGACGCTTTAGCTAAGTCAGCATCAAGCAGACTTGCTGGTTCTCCATTACTTTCCTCCAGGAGCTCGCCTCTCTTGAACAACCGGAGCGTCTTCTCCGCCAGACTTCTGTAACTATGTCACGCCCCATGAGGCCACCTGCAAGACCGTAGACTTGGGTTTTATCATACCATCTGATGAAACGCTGCTGAAGATCTTCATCTACCGCTTCGGCGGCTGCGATGAAGCAAGGCCAGAATAGTGGCCCGGATGTTACTTTGTGCTGTCTTTTAATCTCTTCAATAGCTTCAGCGTGCGAGATGACAGCCTCAACATAAGGCTTCATATACCTCGAATGCATGGCTCGAACGTGTGAAGAGAAGTAGATGACAATGGCTTGGTGGAAAGCACGCGTCTGATGTTCGATAATTGATCTTGTCTCCGGAGTCAGATCTTGAAGACATGAAAGGGCTGAATCCACAGGCCAATCTAATATTTCTGCCTCAAGCTGGTCACATGCATCTGCAAGCCTTGACGCAGTAGCATTATCCAGCTCATGAGGAGCCCTGCGAACATGATCTAGTTGTTGGACGATATCCGTGGCTTTCCCCAGCAGAACTAGCAATGACGGTGGGATCCCATAGATGAATTCAGTTGAGCTCGCTTGTTCTTCACTGTTGGCCAGGTCATCTTCTAACCAAGACTTCGCCGTGGGCTTCTCGTCCGAGACTGTCTTCACCGGAGGAGATGCCGATTCGTCCTTTGATATTTCCACCGATTTCGTTGATGCATGTATTACCCGGAGATAGTAAAAGATGCGGTGCAGGGACCGAGCCTTTGATGAATATTTCATCTTCCAACCCTTGGTACTGCGAATGAAGCTTTCGCTTCCTGCAAGATGCATCAAGCAAGTAGATGTCTCTCCTGAAGCGACATCAATCGATACCATCGACAGCATGGCAGCCAGAAGCTCCTTATACTTAGGTTTCGAGCTAGAGGAGATGTTCTCGGTCACACACGTCTGGAGAGACTTGACCGCCTGAAACCTCAGCTGGTGACCAACGCTCCGCCACTTCTCCATCTGATCGACTTGGCCATGGCCATATCTGTTTGACAAACAGTATGCGCTGACGGATAAGATCGCATTCAGGAGAGCCTTGCGAGTATGTGATGTCGCGCCAATGACCTCTAGCTCGCCGCTTCCTTGCATCGCTCGAGGCAGATGAATTGATTTCCACGGGCTCTTGGCGTTCTCCACCATTGTGAAAATATTGACAACTTGATGTATGTAATGGTTGAGAAGGAATCTTGTCTCCGGCTTCATGAAGAAGGGAGACGGCTGAGATACCAACGCAAACGAGTCAGAGGGCGAGGGAAAGTCGGCATCATCTTCAATCGGTGGGTCATCGACCATTGCTGGAGTCATTACAGGAAATTGCGACTCCAGCAGCTGCAGGAAGCTCGGCGACGGAGATGGGAAGACTCGGGCTCCTGGTGGGAGGGCTGGCCACATTCCATCATACTCGCTCATGTAAGATGCTGTCGACGTCCTACGTGACAGGCCAAGGTATTGTCTGGCTGCATCATGAACGTATCCCTGCTCGTCGGGTAGGAACTGCGATGCATTGCCTTCTTCTGAAGCATAATCTAGAGATACATGGCTTTGTGTTGGTGACGAAAGGGTTGCTTCTGGAGCATCATCATTAGAAGCGAAGACCCCAAAGGGGCCACGCAGTTGTGTCCGAGAAGTCAATGCTTCATCTTCGTCGATGTCAAAGAGAAATTGATCAAGCTCGGAGTCATTAAAGACAGATTTTGGGGCACCTGACATGTCACCGTAAGCCTCGCATCACACTTTGCGCGCTGCAGTGAAGAATCACTCACTGAAGACGATCTGCCGCCGCTGGGACGTCGTCGTCCTGACTTGAGCTCCTACAGACTCCCCTGAGCCGGTCTCACAAGGCAACCACTGCAGGCGCGTTGAGTATCCCTCGCAGGCGAGGTTCTTTCTGGTGCATTGGTTGCAATGGGGATACGTCTCGTCGCACTTGAGCTTCCTGGCGCGGCATGTCCAGCAGCCAGTGAACGTCTTGCGACCCGTGGGCCGTTTTGTGGTGGTGGTGGACCGTGAGCTGGGTATTGCACGGCTACCCATAGCGAAGAACCCTGGCGCACTGGGTCCCCAAATACCGAGTGCGTCTCCTCGTCTCGCTTCCTCACGTCATGGGCCGCGGGCCGCCTGGAACTACGTAGTCTGATGGCCTGACAAGACTCTACGGACACGATGAGATGGGCAGATCGCGGCTCGAGGAGGATGGGAAAGAGCTGGCGTAAAATCCCCACCTTCTGGACAAGAGAGCTTTATCAAAGCATCAGGAGGGGAGATAAGAGTGGGAACTGCACCACCACTTTTAGTGCAGCTTACCTGCGGCGCACTTGCAAGGGAACCCCTGAGTGCCGGCTCCCGATGCCTCTCCGGACCAGTCGGCCGCGGCCAGGCGGCGGGTGGACGGGGCCGGGCGCTCATTGGCTCGCTATCACTTGCCAGTTTCGCTGACACCTTCCATCACGACCAGACTTGCACATTTTTCTGTGGCAACTTGACTTACACGACTTCAACGTGGGGTACTTATTGGCAATTCTACGCAATGCCTTATCTGCGTCTGCTGAACATCTGTTTGAAGGGTGCTGTTCGTGACAACAGACATCAAAGCACTGAGATAAGATAAGCTGCACCCTAAGGAACTCCTGAGTAAGTGAGTGCTGCTTTTCGATAAGGTCTGCCTGCTGCATCTTCCTCCTGTCATTTGCACCCGCACCGATGGCACCATCCGCGACCACCACCGAGACCGTGGTTCGGGACCCGGCCACGGACCCGGTCTCACTGAAGCTCGACTCCGGCCCGGTAGAAGACGATGCCCAGGACCCTTTCGCAACGGGCGGTGTCCCTTATGAAGGCATGCCAAAGTTCGACGACCTATACAAGAAGCGTCAATGGCAGCTTGAGCACATGGCCGGCGCCTTCCGAGTGTTCGCCCGGAAGGGGTTCACGGAGGGTGCTGCGGGCCACATCAGTGTCCGAGACCCTGTCGACCCAGATACCTTCTGGATCAACCCGTATGTCCCCGACAAGATATCTCACCACCGTAAGAGTAGCTGCTGACATTTCTCACAGTTATGCCAAGCATTTCGGGATGCTCAAGGCGAGCGACATGGTCCATGTCGATGAGCACGGACAGGTCATCGGAGGCGCACGATCGCCAGTCAACACTGCCGGCTTCATGATTCATAGCGCCATCCACAAAGCACATCCGCGAGTAAATGCAGCTTGTCACACACATTCAAAGTTCGGCAAGGCTTGGTCATCTTTCGGAAAGCCGCTAGAGATTCTGTCGCAGGACGCCTGCAACTTCTATCAGAACCAGGCGGTATACTCAAGGTTTGGCGGTGTGGTGATGGAGAAGGAGGAAGGCGAGCGCATCGCCGAGGCTATGGGCGACGCGCGATGCGTAATTCTACAGAACCACGGTCTGCTGACGACGGGATCGACTGTTGACGAGGCGGCGTACCTCTTCACGCTGGCTGAGCGGACTTGCGAGGTGCAGATGCGCATTGATGCTACTGGCCGTGACAAGATCATTGTGGACGATGAGGAGGCTGCGTATACCGCCAAGTTCAATGCCAACCCGACGACGTTGTATACGGACTTTCAGCCTGACTATGAGTATGAGGTCTGGATGTCGAATGGGGAGGTGTGTAAATAAATTATTGCAGACGTTATACTTCACAGAAGATTGCATCCATCAGCATTAGACCATAGGGACTTAGACCTTCACGAGATACCAAGTTTGCATTGCGTTAAGCTCTCATATCAATATGGTGTCCCTCGTGTATGAATAATGCCGTCACATCGACTACACTGAAATGGAATATGTCTCGCGACGAGTAACACTGGCCCAATTGCGTTGAGCATGGGAACCGAACACGGTCATACCTCGCATTCCTTATTCAATAATCAAACTATCACATCATTATAGATTATAGAGGCTCACTTGGCATGCCGTATGCATGGTTCTAATGTTACTGAATTAATCTAATCTTACTCTGCACCATGAGATTTTACCCAGCATGATCATAGCTTGCTCAGAACACCTTCCGCATTCAATATTGACAAATGACCTCTGTTAATCTCGGAAACATTCTTGCATCTGTTAAACTATTAGTCACTAGGCTCGACGAGCGGGTTAAAAAGAATAGTCATACCCAGTGAGTCCCATCGCGAGCGTGAACTCGTGCTTAAGAAGCTGCAGCGCTAGCTCGACACCCTCGGATCCTTTGTACTAAACCGCAAAAAGAAGCAACCGTCAGCGATGCCTATACCATTTGTTAACGTAATACATACCGCAAGGCCCCAAATCGGCACGCGGCCAACGAAGCAGAAGTCGGCGCCGAGCGCCAGGGCCTTAAAGATGTCTGTCCCTCTCCTGATGCCGCTGTCAATCGCAATCGGGATCCTGCCCTTTGCGACGGGCGCGCACTCCCGCAGGGCGTCCAGCGTGGCGGGGACGCTGTCGAGCTGCCTGCCTCCGTGATTGGAGATGATGACGCCGTCAAAGCCGTGTCGGATCGCGAGAGCGACATCGTCGGGCGTGTACACTGTTGCTCGTCAATTTCTGGGCGGCGCATATGATACCATATGAGAGCTGCGCACCTCCTTTGATCCATACGGGCAGCTTCGTGTGCTTCCTCATGAACGCTGCTGTCTCGGCCCAGTCCAGCGCCGTCTCGTAAGCGGTACGGTCATCGGGAACGTCCAAGTTGTCGCAGTTGATGTCCTCGCCTAGATTAGGATAGACGGTCCCTTTCGGCATGGCGAACGAGTTGCGGTACTCGTTCAGTCTCTTGCCCAGGAATGCCGCATCCACTGTGAGGAATATGGCGTTGTATCCCGCCTCTATCAAATTGCCCAGGTCAGTCATCTCAAGGCCAGGTTGCACGATTTCAAGAGGGTCATACTCTCTGCTCTCTGGATCATCCTAACCACGAGTGATTTGTCCTTCACCAATGTCACTTGGAAGGCATACGGATTGCCCTTGCCCTCTGCAATTACGTCCTCCATTGACTTATTTGAATAGGTAGACAGTCCCATGGCCACGTTCATGTTCGCAGCTCCACGAGACGTCCCTACCTCGCCGTCAGGGTGGGCCAAGCCGTGCATGGCTGCGGGTGAGAAGCCAAGCGGGAAGCTGACTTTCTTGCCCATGATGGTGGTAGAGGTGTCTACTTTGGATACATCAACGAGGACTCGCGGCCTAATCCTGTACCGGTCAAAGGCGGCTCGATTGTCTGCGAGACTGGCAAGATGCTGTTAGGTTCGGTGTGCCTGACGGGGACGACAGATTGGTTATGTGTGGTGATCTTACGTTATCAGATCCATTGCACCCTCGTTGAAGTATTCTCGATACATCTTAGGCATCTTCTTAGAGGCCTGCTCCTCCAGATCCTTGATGCAGAAGACATGCTTGTCGTAGCTGGGTCCTCTGTTCGCCATTGTGCGGGCGAGTTGAGCTCTCACAACTCAATTGTTGTAGGGAGGAACTTCCGAAGGGCTTCAACCGAGGTGATCTCAGCCTCTAAAGTATAAGGCTAAGGGTGCACACAAACGTCTACTGAAGCACAATGATACCAACCAAAGAACAGGAGGTACAGGAAGCCTGGGTTACAACCAAAGGTAAATAACACCGCCAGGAGCTATCTTGATGCGCATACGAGCTTAAAGCTGTGAGCTCCACGTCCGGCACCGGTCTTATCCATAGCTATCTAGCGATCGAAATGTAGCATCGGCGCGCCCGCCCTGGTCTGCCCGGCGTGCCTTGTACCGACGATTGACGGCCAACGGCTCTGCGGCCTGCGCTATGAAGCTTTCTGGCCAAAAGTTCCAGGCCTCTAAGCTATGCAGAGCTTATCGGGCGTTGTGGTTGGCAGACATCGCCGGTCTCCGGCTGCGGTACAGCAACTTACACGTAGACGGACAGACAAAAAGGAGGGGAGCTCTTTGGTGGAGGTAAAGGGGGGAGCAATGACGGAGGAACGAGGAACTGCATGGGTGGGGATCTGTAGGTCTGCGCTAGCGATCTTAGGCGTCGATAAGAGATGCTTCAGGGGATGCTGAGGCGTCTCCGGCTGTTCGCGGGTCTGTAATTGGTGCCATCTTAGTGGGTTGGAGACCCCTGGATAGCAAAGCTGCCATTCCGTAGCGCAGCGTAGTGCAGCGTAACGCACGCACCTTGAGAAGGAACCCTTGGAGCTGATTCTTATCGACCCCGCAGATCGCGCCTTCCTGCTTGCTGCTTACTGCTCCTGCCCCTCCATTCCCCTCCTCTATCCTACAGTAACGAGATAGCTCTCTGGGTGAGCTTGATAATTCGGCTTGTGCCTATCAGCTCTCCGATCGAAAGAGACGGCGTCACTTACCAGGCCCAACCTTTTATGCATTATGGGAGGGTTTTCAATGTAGATTGGCGGCTGACCCGTGTGCTTGTGTACTACTCGTTCAAGTTTCCGTTAGCAAGCAGAATGAAAGCGGAGCCGAGTCAAGACTCGTCTACCTACCTTGAAGGAGCTGAGCTAGTCTGCCCCGAGCACGGAAGATGAGCCGGTCTGTACTTCTTAGACGCCTCCGAGTATCAGCATCACCACTGTTGACGACTTCTTGGTGTTGCTGGCCATCCTCAACGTTCTCGATTGCTGATTCCCTCATTCCATTCTCAAGTGCCTCCCGCATTCACCGTTTTCCAGTTTCGTCCCTGCTTCTCTCTTCATCTTCGGTAAAAGTTTCTTCTTCATTCTCGACGTCATCAAGAAAAATGGGCTCTTTGCCGTCAACAAAGGCCAATGTGCTCCTTGTGGGCTCTGGCGGCGTCGGCACCATGGGTGCATACGCCCTCGAGAAAGGAGGCAAGGCTTCAGTCACTGCGATCTTGCGGTCAAACTTTTCTGCCGTAGAGAAGGGCGGCTTTCAGATTGACTCTTTAGATCACGGCATCGTTAGCAACTGGAAGCCCTCAACCAGTATGTCCACGCATGTGAAGAGGCGGGAGAAGAGTTGAATGCCTCAGCGAGACTAACACGACCTCGTAGTCCGCAACACCGTCCCAGACGTGGCGGCAGAGAGCTTGCCGCCATATGACTTCATTGTCGTGACCACCAAGAACATCGCAGACGTCCACCCTACCGTGGCGGAGATCATTGCGCCGGCCGTCACACCGGGCCACACGGCCATCGCGCTGGTGCAGAACGGCCTGAACATCGAGAAGCCTCTCGTAGCAGCCTTCCCCCAGAACCCCATTATCTCCGGCATCAGTCTCATCGGCGCCACTGAAGGCCCTCACGGCACGATCAAGCACGACGACCACGATGTGCTGATCGTCGGCGCGTTCACTAACCCCAATATTCCCAAGGAGACCTCTGAGGAGGCCGCGAAGAAGTTCGTCGAGATCTACAACTGCCCCGGCGTCGAGTGTACATACGAGCCGGACGTGCTCTTCAGCCGGTGGCGGAAGCTGCTGTATAATGCCAGCTTCAACAGTGTCGCAACCGTCCTGCGCATGGACACGACGAGGATGCGCATCAGTGAGCATGTCATTGACAACTTGATACGGCCGGTCATTCTAGAAATCATGGCCACGGCCAAGGCGGCCGGTGTGAACCTGCCGGAAGAGCTGGTTGAAAAATTCATCACCATTGATCCATTCGAGGCGTTCTTCAAGCCGAGTATGTGTCAAGACATCATAAAGGTACAAATCAGGATCACTCGACTCACTTTCATTTGATGAGCCGCTAATGAAAGCTGTTATAGGGAAATTATATTGAGTACGAGAATATTGTTGGCGAGCCATTAAGAGAAGCAGAGAGACTCGGTGTGCCCACGCCGACTTTAAGAGTGATTTACGGGTTCTGCAAGGGCCTGCAATGGCAGACAATGGAAGCTAAGGGGCTCATCACTGTCCCCAAGACGAGCTCACCGGACATGAAGTACGGCGAGAAATAGATCATATAGATATGGGCGCAGTGCCGTAATACCAGCAACATGTTAAAGCAATACTACATCTCGTATTGTGAACGGCCCAATGTAGTTAATGTTATAGACAGCAGCAAATGGCCTAGCTATGGCTAAACATAGCTCCTCTGACATTCAGGACTGCAACACTCAGAATTGCGATGTTGCCGTATGATCAAAACGTCTTGGGTCTGGAAATGTAGCAACGTAAAATGGATTATTCTCATATCTACGATTAAGTAAAGGTCTGCAAATATCCAGATCAAAGTTTAGCTTGGAACAGCCCCAGCGACTTCTCCTCCTTGCTCAGCGCCTCAATGACCTCCTCCGCACCTCTCTCGCCACTTCGCACCGCACCCTCCATATAGCCTTTCCACTCAAAGCTCGTCTCCGTGCCCACAAAGTGCACCGCGCCAAACACTTCCCTCAGAGCCTGGCCGTGGGCTTCCATGACACCTGGTCCCATGACAGGACTCGGGCCGCCCTTACTCCATTCCTCCTCATTCCAAACCTGCACGAGCACTTCCTTCGGCTCTGGCGGCGGTCCGCCAACAGACCCGTAGATCTCGCCAATGTGCTTCACCACGGCAGCCACACGAGCCTCGCGCGTTGGCAAGGCGGACCAGGCAATGCCGCTTTGGCCAACGCAAAAGCAGGTCATGGTGTACGAGCCGTCGATGTCGACGCTCGTGTCCCGCGCAATGGATACGGGGCCCTGGAACGACTGCGTCAGGCCGCAGAAACCCCTCGCGCGCCACCAGGGCTGCTTGTACACGAGAATTACCTTGGCGAGGAAGCCCAGCGACAGCTGCGACACGAGGCCGGCCTTGGTGGCCGGAAGCGGCGGGCTGAACTCGATGTCGGCGTACAGCGGCGTAGGCACGGAGACGATGACCTTGCGGCAGTGGATCTGAGTTCCGTCTCGTGCCGTCACGGCCGCCCACTGGCCGAGCTGCTCGATGCGGCGCACGGGTGTTGACAGGAGCACGCTGCCGGGGGTCATGGCGGCCGCTAGCCCTTTGCTGAAGCTCTGTGTGCCTTGACGGATTCGCAGATGTTGACCACCGGCGTACGTATCGGAACGCATCACGAGAAGGCCACCGCCGGACTTGCAGTAGTCGAGGAAGAAGAGCGCGCTGACCTCGTGCGGATCCTTACCAAGCATAGCTCGTGTCCAAATTGTCACTGTTGATAGAGTGGTGGGAGTGGCACCGAGTGATAGAACAAAATCGGCAACGGATTGACCATTGAAGGAGGCCTTATGAGCCCATGGCGAGTGGATGTCAACAGTGTGGCAGAATTCCTCGAACTTGTCCCGGACCATAGCAAGGTTGTCCTGGTCTTCCTTTGAAAACTGTTTTCGCTTGTCAGTTTGGTCTCAGGGATAATTGGAGACAACGCTGTACGAACGTTTGGCAGAGCCCCGAACGGAAACCGTCCAGCCTCTTGCGACATGGCGTCCCCCTTAACATTCTGCTCGACTGTCTCGAGACCGAAACGTTGTGCCAAAGCCCACATGCGGCTCTGGTTGACGCTGTTGATCCATGCAGCTCCAACGTCCATGCCTCCCTTTCCACCGTTGATTGGCACTGTCCAGGTCTTGCCGCCCACCCTGTCACGGGCTTCCAAGACAACACATGAGTAGCCGGCTTTCTGCACATCGTACGCGGCTTGGAGCCCGCTCAATCCTGCGCCGACAACAACCACGTCCACGTTTGCCACGCTCTTCAAGGGCGGTCTGATGAAAGCAGGCAGAGTGCTGGGATCTCTCACAGCTGCCACCGCTTCAATTTCAAACAGATAGTCAGGGCTTGCCAGTGCCGGCACAGGTACCAGCGTGGTAACCGGCCGAAGCCCTTTCAGCCACTTGGGGATGATCTCGGCATGTGGGCGATTCTTGGGATCATAGTTGACGATATAGTAGGTGAGCTTGACGATGTCTCGAGGGCTTGCGCCTGCAGCAAGCAGGCATGCCTCCAAATTTGCAAGAGCTTGTTTGATTTGCTCTGGATAGGAGCTCGATGTCTTCCCGTTGATATCACTCCCGACCTGACCAGCTGTGTGAATTGTGTGAACTCCCGGTCGGATCACAGCTGTGTGAGAGTTGATGGGACCTGGTGCGAGCTCGCCAGGGCTGATGAGACGAGCAGCTGGCTCTGAAGGCATCTTCGGAGTGTTGTGGCCTCAATTGCAGCGGTATAACTAAATTGTTCTCAAGGTGCAACCCGTAGCTATTCACAACTACTTAGAATTGTCTAAGTCATTTGTATGGTCACGGAGCTCGGAACTGAGTTGCAGACAAGCAACATCAACGGAGCTCCATCCATCGGTTCTCGTGCTGTCGGAACTCAAACATGCATGCAGCTCGGAGGACTGCAGAGACGCAGGGTCCCCGCCGTCTCGGCGCCTTCATGCTGAGGCTATCTCCAGCTGTGGAGCGCATGATAAGCTCGCAGGACCCTTTGTGAGTGAACCGCACCAAGCCGCGATAAGATTCTTACGAATCAAGGTGAAATTACTGGCGATACTTGCATGTTCTCAAAGCCGGCGTTGCGGGGGAGGTCTGGGAAAGTCTCGCCTGGGCCTGCCCTGTCTCTAGGCTCCCAAGGGCGCCTCATCCACTAGCCTGGTGCCCCTCCAGTGGGTGTTAGTGCTGCTGCAGATCCCGACTTCGGTTACTGAATCGATTTGTTGAAGCTCCAAGTCCCCCAGCTTCTTGGGTAGGGGAAACAACCAGCCGTGGGCTCCTTATCAGTGGTGGCGTTCAACCAGCTAGCTGCCCTAGGATTCGATGATGGCTGCTGTAGAGAGATAAGCTAGGCGCGTGGAGGAGGCACACGGTGATCCCTTAAGTGAAGCATCGTTTGAATGTGTGTTCTGCTATTGTTCAATATGCAACATATAGTGATTCAAGATGTCTTCCACACTTGCCAACCAGCTAAGCCTTCCTGAGGCGTTTGACGCCGCTGCGAATGACTTTGCAAAGGCGAACTCTAAGAGCGGGGAGATAAACAAAAAGTCGCTCGATGCGGTCCCTGGAGGTATGCAAACGTAATGCTCGGTATGATCCAAGCTGTGTCGATGCTCATGTGTCAAAGGAACAACTCGAAATGTCGTCTTCATGAAGCCATTTCCAGTGGTCATGGCGTCAGGAGACGGGGCATATCTGACCGATGTCGATGGACACCGCTATCTAGATCTCTGTGGAGAATACTCGGCTGGCATGTTTGGCCATTCGCACCCAGTCATCAAGAAGGCAATGCACGATGCTATTGACCAAGGTTTTGCGTTGGGAAGCGTAAACCAATATGAGGGGAAGCTAGGGCGGCTTGTCTGTGACCGTTTCCCCAGCATTGAGAAAGTGCGCTTCTCGAACTCTGGTACGGAGGCTGTTACCACATGTCTGGCTCTCATCCGGGCCTATCAGGCGAAGAGCACATTCCTCGTCTTTCAGTAAGGCTACATGTGTTTGTGGAAAGTTACATCGAAGAGCAACTAACCACATATCCTCAGGGGCGGTTATCATGGCGGCCTCGCCGCCTTTGCTTACCAGAAAGAGAACAATATGGCGCAGGCGGGAACACTTACAATGAATGTCCCGCACAAGTTCGTAGCCGCGCCTTACAATGATATTGCGGCAATGGAGGCGCTCGTGGAGGAGCACAAAGACGATCTGGCCGCCATTGTCATGGAACTGGTGCAAGGCTCATCTGGATGCGTCCCGGCCGACCTTCCCTTCGTCAAAGCCTGCCGCGCCAAAGCAACCGAAGTCGGTGCAGTGCTGCTCTTCGATGAAGTGATGACCTCGCGCATGTCTGTTGGAGGCTATCAATCGCTCCTAGGTGTTTACCCTGACATGACTACACTTGGAAAATATCTGGCTGGAGGTGGCTGCAATTTCGGGGCATTTGGTGGCAAAAAAGAGATTATGGATATGCTTGAACCAGGAAAACCAGGAGGTGTATATCATAGTGGGACGTATAACAACAATGTCGTGACGATGTCCACAGCAATCACTACTCTAGAGCAGGTATGGACCTCGGAGGTCGCGCAAGAGCTCTGGGACAACGGCGTTTGGCTGCGAGAAGTACTCAACACACTATCAGCGAAGATGGGCTCGACGTTACATGTCAGTGGAACAGGAAGCCTTATGAATGTTCATTTCACAGTCAAAGAGGTGAAGAGTGCTGCTGATGCGCAGGCTGGAGATGCTGTACTCCGGGAGCTCTTCTTCCTTGATATGCTTAAGAAAGGATTCTTCCTTGCTCGTAGAGGAATGATCGCGTTGATGACTGTACATACCAGAGAGCAGCTGTTGACTTTTATCGAGGCTGTCAAAGAGTTCCTGGACGAGAGAAGAGTATACGCAAGTCTTCCAAATTAAAACCTATAGGCACAATCAACAGTTCCACTATAGAGCTCTATAGGGTCTCATTGATTTGCATAACTATAATAATGCATGCGGGATTGTTGCTCTCTGGCAAGTGGTGCCGGGCAAATGTGGAGAAGATGGCACTGGATTTGAGCTAATGCAGCAACTTATCGCGCCATGTTTGGCCTTATCTATGTGTTATCTCTCCCGAAGTTTGTTTCCGAGAGGCAGATGTTTCATTCATTTGACTTAGTTCACGGCGTCTTATACTTAGCAGAAGGTTAGCCTCATAGTTTCCATAGCGATCCTCAACATTTCATCGGTTGAAGATACATGAAATAGAGAAATGCCACTGGTGTGTGTTCTTGGTTCGGGCATCATTGGCCTGGCTTCCGCAACGCTTCTCACGGATGCCGGCTATAATATTATCGTGGTAGCTCGAGACATGCCTGGAGACCCAGGGGGGTTGTCGTGGGCAAGTCCTAGGTGAGCTTGCAATTATTCCACTGCCAAAACAGAGCTAAAAAGTCTCAGCGCGGGAGCGGCTATCCTACCAGCCCCCGAGCCGCAGGATGCTCAGATGCAGGTTGACTCTTTCAAGTATTATTGGGCTCTGGCAAACAGAGACCCGACAAGTGGAGCACAGGTAAGTCTTCACGAAGACAGCAGTCCTCATACAGAGACTCATATCACATAGATTATGAAAGCTACAGAATATTATGATATCTACGACGATGACTCCAAGATCTGGTACAAAAAGGCTTTCCCGCACTATCGACGCCTCCGACCTGATGAACTACCGGAAGGCGTCACCGTTGGTTTCTCGATGAGCACTTGTGCAGTGAACCCCGCAATAATACTCCCATGGCTTCAAGCAAGGCTAGAGGAGAAGGGGGTCAAGTTTATACGCTTTACAGCCGAGTCCCTGGATCAAGTACGGCAGATGACTGGGGCCAAGATTGTTGTCAATGCAACAGGACTAGGTGCAAAGAAACTCGCCAATGACGAACGCGTAACCGCTGTTCGCGGACAGACGATGTTCGTACGCAACAAAGACGATTGGAATGAGCTCAGGCTTCGGCAGGGCACCGAGTACACCTACACAATCCCACGCATGTTTTCAGGAGGCGTGATTATTGGTGGAGTGCGTCAGCCTGGTAATCTGAGTACAACCGCCGATACGAGTCTTAGAGAGGACATTCTCCGGAGAGTAAATAAATTAACAGACAATGCTTTCAAGGATGTGAACCTCGAAGCCGATGTGGAGGACATCGTAGGGTTTCGTCCCGGGAGAGAGGGAGGATTCAGGCTGGAAGTAGAAGGACAAAATGTGGTTCACGCTTATGGGTTTGACGGTATGGGCTATGTCCACAGTTTCGGCGCTGCAAAAAGAGTAACAGCACTTGTGGGAGAGTTACTTGCGAAAAAGAGCAAGCTATAGCTGAGATGAGACGTTTCTAATCTGCATATAAGCATGAGCAATTATAATTATCATAGATAGTGATTAGGTCACACTTGTAGGCTGTATGTTGTGATCAACATATCATGCACCCTAATGGGCTATATTGAACATATTGAACATTTTACAGATTCTAATGACAGAGCATATTGATCTAGAGAAAACACCACTTCGATTGAAACCTTAAATCTCTGGAAATGACTAGTCTTTAGGTAAGTGTGTCTGCGTGCTAACTACTCTACTAGTCTCAATAGTCATGAGGTCAAGGTCAGCCGCCCGCGAAAATTCAAATCTTTATCCTGTAGCCAGAGCTACAAGTCGATCTTGGCTTCCATTGAAGATATCGGAATCGCCGCCCTACAGGTTTTAGTCATTGTCTAAGAGAAATCTGACGCGAGGTCTAACTCACATATGTGTATGCATCACTATTCTGCCAAATGGTTTGGTACGACCATCCACCCGGTATTGTTCCTACCGAGCTCGAATAGTGCGCTAGCACCAGTGGATTCGTGCTCGCAAATGCGTTGGAGTTTCCTGTGCAATCGGTCCACCAACTCGGGCTGGTGTAGATCATCGGATACCTTCCAGTCTTCGAGTGATACTGGTCACTGAATGACTTAATCCAGGACACCATTGCGCTAGCTGATAGTCCCCAACACTCCGCAGATGATCCAGACTCCATATCGAGCATGCCCGGCAACGTTACACCATCAGCAGACCACCCACCACCATGGGCCAAGAAATAATCTGCCTGCGCAGCACCTGTTCCAGAATTTGGATGAGCGAAGTGGTAACCGCCTCGGATGAAGCCAGCACTTGTTGCACTTGTGTAGTGGGAAGAGAAGGTCGGGTCCGTATACGTAGTCCCTTCAGTTGCCTTATCCTATGTTAGCTGCCAATATCTAGAATGGTCAACTAATTGGAATAGACTGGATAGCTAAATACCTTGATGATCACGAATCGAGCCCCAGAAGAGTATGCTGCGGCAAAGTCGACAGAGCTCTGATAATGAGAAATATCGAACCCTTGCACAGTTGCCCTGGCAGCAGCGATCAAGTTGACGAGCACAAAACCTAACTTCATTGTGGTTTTGTCTGTGGTGTTCTCGATATCATGGAATTATTCCTATTTGAATTGCAACAATTGTCTCTACTTTTGTTGAACTTATGAGCCTTTATATATCTCATTCTCTCCCAGCCCGACCGGCAGTTGCCGGTCGGGCCGTTGAAGACTTCATCTTACACCGCGTGGTGGCTGTTCTAGCGCCCCTGAGGCCATATGCAAAACATTTTCTCCGCATATTTTCAGCCATTGAAAGTTCTGAAGCAGACCATGCTGCGCCGATCATCCCGCGACAGAAAGCCCAACTCGTGGTCTGATCCCCAACGTCTCTCAGCCGCAGCGTCATCTCCCGGCTTTCGTGCCACCAAGAGGAACGCCATCTCGCTAGAATTCACTGGAAAAAGAAGCTGCGACTACAGCACATCATTAGATTTGAGCAAATAGAAAGCCAGTGTCAGAGCCCGGGATGCCGATCTGTCCTAGGGATAATGCGGGAAGGCGAGACAAGCTTCAAGTCGAGCTATCTTTGGCAAGGTTTGGCGTACTCGACTTCCTGTTCTAGGATAGTTAGTCTGTCAGGGGTTGTGTCGATCACTTCAGCTGCGCTTCTGGAATGCGGAGCATATATCAAGGGATTACCCTAGACTTCCATCAGTGAGTTCAATAATTTTGTAATGTGAAATCATAGTGATCCAGATTTGTCCGCTTGTTGCACGAGATTGTTGATCCAATGGGTAAACCATCCGTCCGAAAGAGTCTAAAGCGTCTCGTTGCGCGTAAAGAAGACGGGTATTGCGGGATGGTGACGAGGCGTGAATTCGAAAGAGCTCTTATCCAAGTTACCCTTAAATCAAGCCACATTGCTACCTCATGATGTGGGCGAATTAGCTATTCCTAAGAGCTGCAATGCTATCTTCAACTGCCATATGCGCTTAGCAAGTTAACACCTGTATAAGTTGATTGGCTGTCATCAAATCAGATGCCGCCCCGGCAAATAGACCAGGACCTCTCTGGTCTACTGTAAAACTGAATTCGAAGAATCCATCTGGATAAATCACGCCATTCTGAACGAATTTAGTAATGGGGTCTTCTAAGGACTGATAAGACGTCAGCCTTAGAACCTTGGAAGGCTAGGATCAAGTCAGATAGATGGAAATCCTTGGCATATCATGTAAGACAACGTGGCCCTGTACATTTGTGTTTGACTATGTGCAGTTCGAAGCTTAGTGCCAATAAATTTGGGATAGATGCTCAGTAGAAAGAGTTGTGATTGAAGGTTCTAAGGCTCTATTCAATTGCCACTAGAAAGCATCCTCTCTTCGCTCGCCAATATCTAGGCAACCTTAATCACAACCTTCCCAAAATGGTTCTTGTCCCACTATTTCTTTTGTCAGCATTTACTTGTAGTTTCTCGGTGGTTAGAAATCTTACCATATACTCGTAAGCCTCCTTGGCCTGATCCAGCTCGAAAACCTTCTTGTCAATCACAGGCTGAATGCTATTGACCTCAATTGCATTGACCATCTCCTCCATCATCTCCCTTGAGCCCACATAGACGCCTCGGAATGTGCATAGGTTGTTCAAAGCATCTAGCGCGCTGACCTTTGGCTTAACACCGCCGAGGAAACCAATGATAGAAATGGTGCCCTCCAGCTTGATAGCCTTGAGGCTCTGCTCTAGGGTGTTCTCTCCGCCGACCTCAATGATGTTGTCCACACCCGTTCCATCCTTTGTGTACTTGCGAGCGGTCTCGCCCCAGTTGGCGTCTTCCTTGTAATTCAGGACATAGTCGGCGCCGAGCTTTTTCAGTTCTTCAACCTTGTCCGCAGACGAGGTGGTAGCAATCACTTTAGCACCAGCTGCCTTGGCGAACTGCAACGCGAATATGCTGACACCTCCGGTACCTTGAACGAGCACGGTCTGGCCGGGCTTTAGGGGTTTCAGACCATATAGAGCGTTCCAGCTAGTCAGAGCCGCACAAGTGAGGGTGCTCGCCTGGAGACCGTTAAGGTTGCGGGGAGCTTTCACCAATCCGGACTCAGCAAACGTGCCGTACTCTCGTAGGGTGCCGTCTAAGACACCACCCAGACCTGATTGCATAGCAGCAGGGTCGGCAGGGCCAAATTGATGAGCCTGATTGAAGAGAGTGCAGACTTTGTCACCCTTCTTGAACTTAGTTACCCGGGATCCGACCTCGACGACCTCTCCAGCACCATCTGAGCAGGCGGCGATGGGAACATTGGCCGGGAATGGATACAAACCCTAACAGTGTTAGTCTAAGAGGTGGTAACATCATGCTGGGAACATGCCTTCGGGATAATGAGGTCACGATAGTTCAATGAGACCGCATGGATCTTGACGAGGACGTCATTCTCGCCGACCTTGGGGAGCGGGACATCGCCGTACTCAAGACCACTAAAGTCCTTCTCGGTGCTGGTGATGGTCCATTGCTTCATAGTTGATGGCGCCATGATGATTCTGCCGTATCCTAGATTCTTGCTCGCTGAGTATCAGATGCCGAATATGCCTTGCTGGTCAAGTTGTCTGAGTTCGGGTAAGGGCAAGCGGAGGTCCACATTAAGTAGCGGCGGCAGCAGTAGCACACATGGGGAAGAAACTTTGCTATCTGACCAATTCTCATGTCTGAGCTCGATCGCGCTTGCCCTCATTGCTTTGGTTTCTAAGCTCATCTTGGCACGCGAGCTACCTAATCACAGCACAGTACTCGCTCGACCGGATCATCCAGAGCGCAGATGGTGGGTCCAGCCCCGTCGATACCGAGGTGACGCTATTGCTACGTGGTGTCCTAGCTAGTAGCTTTTCGAGCCGGATTTGTAATTCTTGACACAGAGCCCCAAGAGTCTGTCCAAGAGCCTGCGATGGGCCACTCAAGACTGTTAGTGTTTGGGGGGAAGAACTGGATATTCCGCAGTCATTGCGTCATAGAGATCCATGTGCCGAAAAGGGGGCAAAGTGGAGGTGATTTCGGGAACTAAACGCAAATGTGCTGTGCTCCGCGCCGGTAAGCTAGTCAAGCATGTCTAGCATGATAATCAGGTCTTACAATAAGAACTCAAAAGTAATGTTCTATTTACTTGTTTGTAAGTGTGTTGCTCACCATAATCTGAATGCCTGATGTCTAATCTATGCCGTTGCATTTGTGTTTGACCTATCAGCTTACATTACAGTCTAATTCCAGTGCTTCAAGTCCACATCTCCACATACCACATTTCCACTGATAATTCATCAGAGGGAACGAATTGTATGAGCTTAGCGAAGGTTTGACAGGGTCACCTATCACCTTAATTTATCAGCCTCAACAAACATATGCTTCTCGGTCCGCACCTCTCATCCCGGGGAATATATATTACGGACGTGGTAAGCGCCTTGTGTTACGTATGACAAAGCGGACTGTCTATTCCACTTCCTGACTCGCAAAGAGATTGCCAGCTCAGGTTTGGTAAGCAGACCCATAGAGGTTCTCATGAGAGATAAGATAGGGCAGAGGCTGGAAATACTTTAATTTATATGGCTTTCCAATCGGTAAGGTTACTTTGGGACTGTGGAGAGTAGGATATGGGAATGTTTTTGTGTAGTCCTTTTGCAGTAACTTGTCTTCCCCATCAGGGCGTACTCTAGCCTATGATTATCGATATTTCGCGAATCGAACAATATCATGAGTCAAAAAACATAGCCTCTTGGGCAGATGACTGTTGATCAGGGTTTATGAGCGCCATCATGTAAGTGCTCAGCCTGAGGATATTTGTGCCCCCTCACTTTGGAAAAGGTGACCACCGGCAGCAAATACATTATTTTGTTAAGGGTCCCAAGATTAGTGCGGGGGTGGCTGGAATGCCAGTCCAAGAGACTCGAGAAGAGCCCTACCGAGCGGCAGGCGCCGGCACATGGCACATGGCACATGGCAAGGCTGGCTGCAGGTGATCTTTGACCATTAAATGAAAGGGACTCTGAGTTTGTGGCACAATTCAACCTTCGAAAGGCCACAACGTCAGACTAACATTCCTCCAACAATTAGGTCATTAATACAGTCGAAATCAATCGAGCATCTCGCTCTCCTACACGCTACACATGGCTTGAACCCGCACCTCGGCACAATGCTCGTATGATCCATGATCAGTCCTCAAACTGATCGCCAGCCCTACCGCCGCCTTGAAGCTTAATCATCGCGGCCAGGCACGCGAACCCTGAGAGCCTCTTTGAACAATGGCCGATCCCTCGCCATTCTCGACACCCAAGCGCAAGCGAGCAGACAAACTCGGCGAATATGCCCTAAGCGCACATCCCACCTTCTCTTTCGAACTTCCAGCACCTCCGCCCGGCGATGGCAGCGGCAGTCCGCGAACGAAAGTCGCGCACCGGTTCCGAGGGTTGGCTTTGGATGGTGGGGGCGGGGTAGCGGCAGGTGAATCGGCCCCCGAGTCCGCAACCGCAATGGAGGTCGACGATGACGATGTAAAGCGAAAGAGAGCGAGGCTGTCACCGGCCCCCGTTCTTAAGCCAACCGAGATACCAGAAACGCCTGATCGAGTAGCTATTGCTAGACCTGCACCTAGTGACCAAGACCGCCTCAAGACGATTGATGAGGCAACAGGTGATGCAACAGTTACCAGTACAGGGCCAATCCCGGCGCCAGACCCGAGTCGTTCTGTTACAAGCCTGAATGTCACATCTCCGACCAAGTCACCAAAAGCGCATCTGGTTATAGAGCGCCCCTTCGAACCGAAGCCGCAAAGTCGTAAACGAGCGGCGACACCACCGCCCATCGCAATTGCTCCTCCGGCGCCCGACTGCGAGCTGGGCGGAGTTGAAGATGCAGAGATTGTCGAGCCAATACGGGCCGCGCTGACGTGGCACGACGATGAAATTACGATATACGATCCCGAAGACGCAGATGACGATGGCACCGGTATCAATGGTATTGGTTTCAAGCCTACTCCTGCAATCGCCTACGCAAGGACTGTTAAACGGAAGCAGCAGTTGGCGGAATATAAGAAACGCGAAGAAAGGGAAGCCAGGGCACGAAGGAGTCAGCGGAGAAGAGGGAGCCCAACCCAACCTGTCTTGGACCGTCAGGAGAGCTCACGCAAGGTCAGATTTATGGAGGGGGAGTCGAGCCAGGCATTGACAACTTGACTGGGTTTCGACGGGGGCTTTCCTAGGCCTCTCCCTTATTCGAAGCTCAAATACTTTCTGGCGTAGTGCGCGTTGTTTGAATTGGGATTCTTGACGGCGTGAAACTTGTGAATGAATGACTGTTGGCTTGCAATCTTGGCGCGAGGGATTACTTGGTTTGGATAACGTGGCTCTGGTAGCAGCACGCAAGGATGCGAGGAACAACGCCTGGTCAACATATGATGACTTTTGAATAGGTTCGTTCGAATGTAGTTGACAAAATACCCAAACTCCATGACTGATGCCAAATGCTTCCTGATGCATGCTAGGTATATATAACTATGTATATGTGACGGTGCAATGCGCACTGGTGATGACTACCAGAACTTGTACCAGCTCTTCTGAGCAGCGACTCGGGCCGCCTCCTCTTCTGCTTGTCTCTGCTGCTTTTTTCGCTTTGCTTCCTCTTCCTTCTGCTTCATCTCGCCTTGCTTGCGATTGTACACCTCGACAACTCGTTTCATCTTAACCAGCTCATCACGCCGCTTTGCTTGACAATACTCGTACGACAAAATGCTGGTTAGCGCAAATGCACCAACGGCCCAGTTGGCAGCTTTGGGTATTGATGCTGGACATTTGTTAGTTGTGATTATCCTTTTTCCTAAGAATGCCATTGTCCATCCGCACATACCTCCCACGATATATCGAACAACACCAATGACCGAGCCACCGCCAATACCGGTCAACAACCCTTCTCTCGAACATGGATACTGATGAACCTTGAGAAAATCTCCTGCTTTTATTGATTTGGCTGCATCCCCGACGGTGATCCTGCCCGATGCGTTGGGAGCTTGAGGAGTTGGTTGTGGCGACGATGGTGTATTGCCAGTGAGAGGCTTCTCCAGCTCGGCTGTGCGATCTCTAATATGCTCTGCTCCCCAGACCTGCGTTCCGTCCTGCGCGTCGCGAGACATTGCCGGCTACATGAGCGAGGTAGCCTCGGCAGCGGGTTTGTCGTGGCCAGTCTGCTTTGCTGAAGAATCGCTCGCTGCTGATTGGGACTGTTTGCTCTGAATTTGCTAAGCTCCGAAAATCAGGTGCTGTGACATCAGTTATTGTCCCGTGAACCCTTGTACGGCGCCTTGTGGTCTGTGCGCTTAGCGCTGTCAATTAATGGGCTACGGCGAGCTGCACGCGTCGCGTTGTGCAGTTCGCGCTGGCAGCACGCGTCTCCCTGTAAGTTAAGAAGTAACCCTTGCCAGCCCACATCTGGTGAATCTTGACCAGCACCACAAGCAAACCTGTACAAGCAATACTTGTCCTTCAATTGGCAAGACCGTTCCCGGAGACACTGATTTCGAGTTCACTAAACACAGTTTCCATGACTTTACCGCATAATAACGCCTGAGTACCGAACCCGTCTCCCGATCTTCGAGCCCGCGTCTTTGCGCGCGCAGGGAGACGACGAATAACCCAACTCGGAGCGTGCAACTCCTCAGAATACCACAATGCCTAACACATCTCTCCGTCGGCCGCAGAAAGGCTTTCGCCGGGGCGGTAAGGTGGCATACCATGGCGCCTCAAGACCACGGACATTCGCTGCGACGACAAATGGACGGGCAGAAGCCACCTCCACGGATGAGAAGTGGGAGCGGACAAAGCTCTCCAACAACATCGACGAGTCCATGGGCTTTGCGCGATACGAAGCCGGCCGGAAGCGCGAGGGATGGCTCGTGAATGTTCAGTCAACGTCAATAGAAGACGACCGCGTAATTGGCGGCGGTGGCCGAGCGGCACTCGACTGTTACTTCATCGAGGAGGACGGTGCCACATTCAAGGCGACTATCGAGTACGAACCATACTTCCTGATTGCCGTGAGGAAAGGCCACGAAGGCGAAGTCGAAGAATGGTGCAAACGAGTTCCTGGCGGTGGTGTGGTGAAGAACGTGAAGCGAGTGGAGAAGGAAGATCTGAAGATGCCAAACCACCTGCTTGGCTATCGCCGAACCTTTCTCCAGCTACAATTTGCAAATGTGCAGAACCTAATGGCTGCGAGGAGAGACATCATGCCCATTGCGGAAAGCAATAAGAAGGGCATGGATGCCATGGATACTTATGCTGAGGTCGCAACGTAAGTCTGTGTTATCCTCGCCATGTAGAGCTGATGCTAAGGACCCAGCAGGGCAAATGTCGACCTCGACCTCTTTGATGATTCACGAGATGACGATAGACGACTTAATGTTTCCATTGCTGATGCCAGCGATTTCATTGTGGATATTAGAGAATACGACGTTCCTTACCATGTTAGAGTAATGATAGATAAAGGTACAGACACGTCACTCCTTCTCCTGGTAATGGTCGCTAACGATTCATAGACATACGGGTTGGAAAATGGTACTTTGTGGAGGCCAAACACGGAGTGACTTCGATGGTCATCAATGAAGAGCACTTGGCCATGGCGGATCCGGTCGTCATGGCATATGATATCGAAACGACCAAAGCACCACTGAAATTCCCTGACGCTGCTGTCGACCAAGTCATGATGATATCGTACATGATTGATGGCCAAGGATTTCTGATCACCAACAGAGAGATTGTGTCCGAAGACATTGCAGACTTCGAGTATACACCAAAGCCAGAATATCCTGGCCCGTTCATGATCTTCAACGAACCTGACGAAAAAGCCGTTCTCGAGCGATTCTTCCTCCATATCAAAGAAGCAAGGCCGACTGTCATTGCGACTTATAACGGTGACTTCTTCGATTGGCCCTTCGTCGATGCTAGGGCTAGTGTCAATGGTATCGATATGTACCATGAGATTGGGTGGAGGAAAGATAGCGAGGATCAGTACAAGTGCAACTACAGCGCCCATATGGACTGCTTCCATTGGGTCAACCGAGACAGTTATCTACCCCAAGGAAGTCGAGGTTTGAAGGCTGTTACCGTTGCAAAGCTTGGCTACGATCCCGACGAGCTAGATCCCGAGCTGATGCTTCCGTACGCATCGGAGAGACCGCAGACGCTAGCCGAATACTCCGTCTCCGATGCTGTTGCGACATACTACCTGTACATGAAATATGTTCACCCCTTCATCTTCTCTCTATGTACCATTATTCCACTGGGGCCGGACGATGTTGAGCGAAAGGGAACCGGAACACTCTGTGAGATGCTTCTGATGGTACAAGCATACCAGAAGGAGATCGTTCTCCCCAATAAGCACATGTCCCCCCGCGAGGCGTTTTGGGAAGGCCATCTCCTCGATTCAGAAACCTATGTTGGTGGTCACGTCGAAAGTATCGAGGCTGGAGTTTTTCGATCCGACATTCCTGTTAACTTCGCGGTTGACACCGGCGCGGTGGACGAACTGCTGCGTGACCTTGATGCTGCTTTGAAATTTAGTATCACGGTCGAGGAAAAGAAGTCTCTTGACGATGTGACGAATTATGACGAGGTAAAGGAGCAGATTACGGCGCGTTTGAACAGCCTCAAAGAGACGCCGAATCGGAATGAACGGCCGCTGATTTACCATTTGGATGTTGCTTCTATGTACCCGAATATCATGACCACAAACAGATTGCAACCGGACTCCATGATCCAGGAGTCAGATTGCGCTGCCTGTGACTTCAACAGGCCCGGCAAGACCTGTGACAGGAGATTACCTTGGGCGTGGAGGGGAGAGTACCTACCGGCGAAGCGAGACGAATACAACATGATCAAGCATGCTCTTGAGAATGAAAGGTTTCCTGGAAAGTATCCTAATTCGCCAACACGGTCATTCCAGGATCTTACGCTAGACGAACAGGCGGCCCTGGTGAGGAAGCGACTTCAGACCTACTCACAGAAAGTCTACCACAAGATCCACGACTCCACAACCATCGTTCGAGAAGCGATCATTTGTCAACGAGAAAATCCTTTTTACATCAACACCGTCCGTGACTTCCGTGATCGTCGGTATGACTACAAGGGGAAAGCCAAAGTATGGAAGGGCAAGACTGAAGGTCTCAAGTCTTCAGGCGCATCATCTTCGGAGATTGATGCCGCAAAGAAGATGATTATCTTGTTCGACTCGCTTCAGCTTGCACATAAGGTCATCTTAAACTCGTTCTACGGCTATGTCATGAGAAAGGGCTCGCGTTGGTATTCCATGGAGATGGCCGGTGTCACCTGTCTTACAGGAGCGACGATTATCCAGCTTGCAAGGCAGCTTGTAGAGAGACTTGGTCGACCACTCGAACTGGATACCGATGGCATCTGGTGCATGTTGCCAGCCACATTTCCGGAGAACTTCGCTTTCAAGCTAAAGAACGGCAAGAAGCTAGCGATTTCATATCCTTGTGTCATGTTGAACCATCTCGTTCACGCTCGCTTCACGAACCACCAGTACCAGACTTTAACCGATGAGAAGACCTTCAAATATGAGACGCATAGCGATAACTCCATCTTCTTTGAGGTCGATGGTCCATACAAGGCTATGATCTTGCCGACTTCAAAGGAGGAAGACAAAAACTTGAAGAAGCGATACGCCGTTTTCAACGACGACGGCAGTCTAGCGGAACTGAAAGGTTTCGAGGTCAAGAGAAGAGGAGAGTTGAAACTCATCAAGATCTTCCAGCAGCAAATTTTCAAGTTTTTCCTTGAGGGCACTACGCTTTCCGAGTGCTACAGTGCCGTAGCGAAGGTCGCGAACAGGTGGCTGGATGTTCTCCATAGCAAAGGAGCGACACTGGCGGACGAGGAGCTCATGGAACTTATTTCGGAGAATCGAAGCATGACGAAGACTCTCGAAGAATATGGCAGCCAAAAGTCTACCTCGATCACAACAGCCCGGCGTTTAGCTGACTTCCTGGGAGAGGGTATGGTCAAGGACAAGGGCCTGAATTGTAAATTCATCATTTGTTCGCGGCCAAGAAATGCTCCTGTCACAGAGCGCGCCGTACCAGTTGCCATCTTCTCAGCTGAGACGGAAACGAAGCGCCACTATCTGAAGAAATGGCTGAAGGAGGAACCAGCGGACACTGATCCGAGAGCTTTGCTTGATTGGGACTATTACCTTGAGCGTCTAGGATCGGTGATCCAGAAGCTCATCACCATCCCAGCTGCCTTGCAGAAGGTCCGCAACCCAGTTCCTCGTGTACCACATCCGGATTGGCTGCAACGTCGTATCAATATCAAGGACGACAAGATGAAGCAGAAGAAACTCACGGATCTCTTCAGCAGAGAGCCTCTCGAGGATGTTACCAATCTGAGTCGCATGAACATGGCCGACTTGGAAGATTTTGGGACCAAACTTCTCAAGCCCAAGCCTGTTAGTGATGCTGTGAACGCAACGCAAAAGGCACCAGCAGCGCAGAAGAGGAAATCACCCGAGCCTGCTCCCGAAAATCTGGACCCCTTTGCTGCACTTCCCAAAGTTATGCCGTCTCCGTCTGATGACTACCCTGCATTCTTGGAATACCAGAAACAAAAGTGGAAGCTGCAGAAGCAAGCAAGAATACGCCGCCGCCACCTCTTTGGAGATCGGCGTGGACCTATGCAGAATAACATTCAGCAAACATTCCGCAATCAAGCCGAGATCACATTCCGCAACACTTGGCAGCTTCTTCAGTTACGGACAACGGACAGCCCAGGCATTGTGACTGCGTTCGTTCTGATCGATAACAAGATCCACTCATTGAAGATCAAAGTTCCTCGGCAGGTTTTTTTGAACTTGAAGAACAAGGATCTGCCCGATATCGAAGTAGATGGATGCCAAGCTGAGCAGGTCAATCATACTCTTCCTAACGGACATTCGTCCGTGCATCTGTTCAAACTCACGGTGCCGGAGGACACCTTCTTCGCCGAGTCGGAGAAGTTCTCGTTGCTTTTTAATCATCCAAGCGTGGAAGGGGTTTACGAGCGGGAAGTTCCCCTGAACATACGCGCTGTCCTTCAACTTGGTAATCTCTGCACAATTGACGAGAGTAAGCCGGGAGTGCTTGGACAGGGTCTTGACCAAGGCTTTGATCTGCCCAATTTGAAGCGACCAATCAAGCCAAGGACTTATCTTGACGGAGCTTCTATGGCGTATATTTACTTGTCTCATATCAGTGCTGGCGAGCGGCAAATATTCGGGCTGTTTTCTAGCACCGGCGACCAAGCACACGTCGTTATTCTCAACAAACATAAGGATAGCGGCCAGGAACTGCCTAATATTACCAAACTCTACTCTGAGCTCCTCTCGCGCCGAAATCAGGAGGCAGAGGGCAGCAGCTGGCAAGACTGCTTCCCTTACCAGGAGAAGCTGACCTTCAAGATCACACAAATCACCACTCGTCGAAAAGCGTTCCTCGAAATCGGTGATATTGTCAAGAAGATGAAGAAGGATGAAATCCGACCTCTAATGATGGTCATTCAATCATCCCAAAGAAACCTGCTTGTGCACGATATCCCTATTTTAGGCGAGATGCCGGTCTTACCACTGAAGTATAATGCTGAGGACAGCTCGCTTCCCCCTCTCGGCTGGCAGACTGTCGTTGCTCGACGACTCGTCAACCATTATCTCGGTCTCGGCTCTTGGATCATCCACCTCACGGCATTAGCCCGTTATGGTGATGTGCCGCTGTGTAACTTGGAACGAGAGGATCCACGATTCTTGATTGACATTGCATATGCACGACGGCTGCAGAGTAATAACGTTGTGCTGTGGTGGTCTGCCGCCCCTCGGCCAGATCACGCTGGTTACGAGAAAGATGACATTGTTGGCCCCTTGGAGACAGTCCAAATGCCGTCTGTCAATAATCCTGGGACATACGCATCTGTTTGCATTGACCTGGAAGTTCGCAACTTGGCCATCAACACAATTCTCACATCGTCTCTCATCAATGAGTTGGAGGGCGCTGACTCTATCTCATTCAATCCTGCCGCGCCAGGTGGCGATACGGATGGTAACGAAGTTTTGTACTCGGAGGGGGCTTTTGCAAACGCCGGCGTACAAGTTCTACGAGAGATGGTCAAGAGTTGGTGGGCTGAAGCATGTAAGGGCAACGACATGGCAGATGTTATGGTGCAGCACTTAGTACGCTGGGTGGAGAACCCTGACTCCTTCCTCTACGACCGCGCACTGCATTACTACGTGCAGATGATGTCTCGCAAAGCCTTCCAGCAGTTGATGGGCGATTTCCGCCGTGTTGGATCGCAAGTCATCTTCGCTAATGCCAATCGCCTCCTGCTGCAAACTACAAAGTCTGAGGTTGGCAATGCTTATGCGTACAGCCAGTACATCTTGAAGTCAATCAAGAGCAAGCCACTCTTCCACTTCATTGACCTAGAGATCAAAGAGTACTGGGACTACCTGGTCTGGTATGACGAGTTCAACTACGGTGGCAAAGCAACACAGGAGGTTATCGAGGCGGACACCCAGAAGCTGGAGACTATCATGCACTGGCAAATGGCCACCTTCCTTCCAGTCCGTCTACAGCCTACCTTCTCTGACTGGGTCGCCGAGTTCATTCAACTTATGCATGGCCTCAAGCGGCCAATGTTTGGTTCGGACCCAACGGCAACGCCTCGTCTTACGCAATTACCTCAGCGTAACAATGGGGAAGACGATGAAGGACAGTTAATCCTTGGCAAAACGTTTGAGCGACCCTTAAAGAAAGACATATCCGGTCTTCTCCAGACGCAAAAGCGAGAACTCCTGCACCCAGAACTTGCCACCGACTACAGCTTCCCGACACTACCCGGCAGCCATCTCAACACTGGCAACCTCAATGGCGTTCTCGAGCTCGTCAAGGCACTTATGCAAGTCCTTTCACTTGACAAGAACATTGTCCTCGAGGCGCGACTTCTACGCAAGGAGCTACTCGCGATGTTTGACGTCCGCGAATTCAGCAAAGAAGGCGCCTTCCAGAATCCTAGCGAGAGCCTGAAGCTTACACAGGTGAGCTGTGACAGTTGTACAATGGCTCGTGACTTGGACTTCTGCCGCGACGACGATCTTCTCTCTGAGCTTGGACCGGACGGACGGCGCGTAGGTGCGGATGTCACACTCTGGAGATGTGGCTTCTGTGGGAACGATTACGACCGAAATGCACTAGAGGAACGTCTAATCGCCGGCGTCGAGGCCCTGGTGATAGAGTGGACTACACAGGATCTGAAGTGTGTCAAGTGTGGAGCTTTGAGAGTCAATGAGTTCATGGAGCACTGTACCTGCAGTGGGGAATGGAGCGAGTCGGTCAAGAGGGATGAGCTGGTGAGGAAGCTGAAAATCTACAGGAACGTGGCCAGCTTCTATGGGTTGAAGATGCTTGGAGACGTCGTGGAGGGACTGTTTGGAGATTTGTAGAACCGCATCGCGAAGCTATATCATGACGGCGTTTAGCCAAAGGCAAAAGGCGTTGCAGGAGTTTTGTCTTTGGAGTATTCATTATCGAGGAGGCATATTAGCATGAATAGCATGACTACCGACTTTTCTTGTTACAGTACACCAAGAAGGTGATCACTTTTGCTATCTATAGGGATGATCACGCAAGATGCTAGCATGCCCACCCAACAATGACTAGGTAATTTCTGGCAAAGAATCAATGACGCTTTCAATGATGCCCCGTGGAATGAAAAAGTCGGTTCTCGGCCAATCTTCTCCGACTACTCCTTAACAGACTAGTCTATATCAGAAAGGCAAGTCAAATTTGACGAGATATGACGCTCGGTCCCTTGGTGGCCCTACTGCCAAGAAGCAATGGAGACGGTCTCCGTCCTTCCATTGGAGCCGCAATTGGCGCAAAAAGTAATGACTTCTTTTGAGAATTGCTATTATCCACCATAAAGGATCTTTCGTGAACGCTCGTATACGTCTAGAATTCCTACACAGCGATAGAAATGTAGATAGTTAGTATTAGAGTCAACTTCACAGATTCTCAGATGAGATATATTACACCAAGTTAAGGCTGGATATAAAAATGCCTCGGCTATTTCCGAAAATTGAAGTGTCAATCTATCTATTTATAGGAAGGAACAGTAAACTATACCAAAGAAAAGCAAATGGCGCCAGCACTGGGCCAGGGATAGAAGAATGGAACGGCCGAGATAACGTTCTTACCCCGGCAAAGCCAAGATGTCCAAGTGGAGAGTCAACTGACAGACTCAGTGTTGGATCTGGAGTTCAGCGCAACGGTGCAAGATAAAGCCAGTGTACCAGTCTAATGCGGCAGGTCAGTGGCACAACCTTAGTATCCATGTCTTCTAGACGTTCCTTGCATTAAGGCACTAGCTTAGACGGTTGACTTATGCCTTAATATCATCGATCCTTCGGCGCATTGCGTAAACTTTCTTAGGAAGCCCAGAATGCTGGTGGTATTTGACATTGTTCACTAGTCTCAATGTGACATCACTTTCCTCAGTAAGACTAGAACGATGTCTTTTCAGGTCAAGACCGCTCGCTTTAGAAAGATTGCGTGACAGTACAAGTACACTTTGTGTCCCTGTAACTTCTCTGAATTTTGTTCTAAGAGATGTGCAGACAACATCCTTGCGTGAGATGCCATCTGCAAGATGAGGGTGCTAAGTTTGGTTGGTCCTTTGGCATTAGCCAATGCTGTTCTCGCGCTTCTTCGACGAGATGAAGAAGGTCTTCTCACATCCACAGCAGGAGCCAACTCGGCCTCTAAGCGATACATCATTGAGTTTGCTGAGGTAAAGTCTCACATACCAGAGTCACCCCGAGCAGAAAGCTAGCGGTAGCTCACATTGTTAGGGCGTTGATCATGCAGAAGCTGTACAGGAGATCGGCTCCCAGCGCGGCACCAAGATCTTGAAGGTGTTCAACAGCACTAAGATCTTCTCTGGTATCAGTATTGAATCATTGGAAGGAAATACAGACTCTTTCAGTGCCATTGGGTCTGTATCTCGTGCTTGGCCAGCTAAGAAAATTCACCTGGAGGAAATCCTCGATCAATCGTTCAGTGATGCTGCCGCTGCAGCAAACTACTCCATTCATGACATGACTGGTGTTGATAAACTTCATGCAGCTGGTATCACGGGCAAGGGTGCGGTTGTCGCTGTTATTGATACGGGAATCTACTATCCACATCCAGACGTAAGGAAATCTAGAAGATTTGCCTGCTGCACACACAGACTAATCAATGTACAGATCGGAGGCGGGTTTGGTCCTGGATTCAAGGTGTCTGGTGGCTATGACTATGTTGGTGACGGTTGTAGGTGCTCTTAACATGTCTTTCAATATCTAAATGTGGACCTTTTCAATACTAATATTTACGCACTCAGTATGGCCCGATTCAGGGGACAAGGAACCTGATGACGATCCTCTTGATACGAGGGGTATATATATTCAAGCGAAATAGCAAGTCGATAACTAATTCCTCACTAGGCCACGGGACCCATGTTGCAGGGATCATTGCCGGGAAAGGCCCTTGGTGAGCTTCCTCACTCGTCGCACGCCAGAAAAGGTCCTAACATTCTTAGGTTTACTGGGGTCGCCCCTGACGCAACTCTACTTTCGTATAAGGTGTTCTCTAATGCAGTAAGTCCAAACACCAACTTAAAATCTTCAAATGCCATAGTCTGACAGACCTGGAGGCTAGTACTGATGAAGACACCTTGATCGAAGCCTTTCTTGATGCTTATACCGCAGGCGTATGTAACCTGTACCAAATGATCACCTAGATATGCTAATCATTCCAGGCGGACGTTATCACTGCAAGTATAGGAGGGCCTTCTGGGTGGTCTCACAACGCCTGGGCAACTGTTGCCGACCGATTGGTTGACGCGGGTGTTGTCGTGACAATATCAGCTGGAAACAATGGAGACCTCGGCCCTTTCTTTGCGAGTTCAGGTTCGTCTGGACAGAATGTCCTTGCAATTGCCTCACTCGAGCCATCAAATATTATTTCAATGGCATTTGATGCATCACTTACTCTGAACGGTGTGACAAATGTCACGAGAATGGCGTACAGAGCCCAATTCGGTGCCTTTCCCGGAACAGTCAAAGACTGGCCAATAATTTTGGTTGACCCTTGTTCACCACTCCCTGAGGGCACACCTTCTCTTAAGAATGTTTTGCCTCTCTTCGCTGAGGGATGGTGTAGCTCATTTACAGCCGAGGCCAACCTTGGCGCATTTGAAGCACGCTACATTTTGACCTACGTCCCTTCTAATCCTTCGGAAGATCCCTATCTTTCCGAATGGACCTTACGCCGAGGAATTCTACAGACTACAGCCGCCGAAAGTATCGTCGATGCTATCAAGGCTGGTACATTCACTACCGCTACTTTTCCAGAAGATACTGAGTTTGTTGGCGTACCCAACACTCACCCTAGCTGGCCCAGCGTCTTCACCAGTTTTGGCGGGACCTACGATCTCGGGTTGAAACCTGACATTGCAGCACCTGGCACCAACATTTTTAGCTTGTATCCAGGCAATGCCTACGCTGTCATGAGTGGCACATCCATGGCTTGTCCATATGTGGCTGGCGTTGCAGCTCTTTATATTGGCTATCATGGCGGTCGAGCAGTCCATGGTCCTGGATTTGCTAAACAGCTATCTGCCAGAATTCTTTCATCAGGCGACGCAGTACCCTGGGGATCAGAGACAGGAAGCGGTACTTTCGCTTCAGCTGCCCAGGTCGGGAACGGCTTGGTCAATGCCACCAAGGTGCTCAACTACAACACAGAGCTCAGCTTTTCCAAGTTTGCGCTGAATGACACTCATTATTTCTCAAGGTATCATGGTGTCGAGATCACAAACAATGCAGCAGAATCCGTCATCTACACATTTGAGATAAAGCCAGCCGGCGCATTCGAGGCTTACTGGTCCAAGGCGGCAGATGCTTATATGGCACCAAGGATGAAATATCAATTCGAAATGGGGAATAAGCCTTTGCAGATTACCCCAAACGTCAAGTTGCCGAGTGGCAAGTTTGAAGTCAAGCCAGGTGAAACGAAGAAAGCTGAGTAGGTTTCCAGCTTGAACAAAAAAAAATGTCCTCAGCTTGATTCACTTACACACTTATCCAGATTTATCTTCGAGATTCCTGATGGGATGAATGCCTCCAATCTCCCCATCTACTCTGGTCAAGTCTTAGTTCAGGGAAGCAACGGCGAACAACTCGCTGTGCCATATTTTGGTCTGGTACCTCGCTAGTTTTCTAGGCTAGACCTTGCTAACGGCTGTTTTTAGGTGTTGGGAGTAATATTCGAAAGGAGTTGGGAGGCGTCTTTTTCGATTCCTACAACTATCCGCGGTCATATTCAACCCCTGGCCAGGTTTCACTTGTTTCGAAATCTTGGTAAGTTGCCAAGACACCCATACACTAAATAATACCATCAATTAACCTGATCATAATTAAGGTTCACCTTTAATCTGTCTCTTGCTTCGCAGGACTTCCCAAAACTTCAAGCCGCTTTCAAATACGGGACAAGTGAGTTTCGCTGGGACGTAAGTGTCTTTCGTAATTTGTCTCAAAAGCTATTTTGTCTTGCCGGTCGATCCTGACACCTCAGTTTTATCATTTCCCTGGTTTAACATACTAACAGAGACAAAGATATTTGAGGAAAGCTGGAAAGAGCGAAAGTGGGTATACCCTCCAGTTGTTGGTCAAAACGGCTATCTAGGCTCTGCAACATCTTTTGCGCTTGCTGGTCAGCAGTCAACTTTCAACCCGATGACAGACGACGAAAGTAATCTCGTTGCATTTCCAGACGTAGATCTGTATCGGCAGGGTTTGTTCGAATACTGGTGGCTAGGAAGATTCTCGAATGGTAGTTATATTACGCCGGGTAAATACAAGTGAGCTTAAACCCTATATCTCTTCCTATGCTATACAAAAAGAGGACGGGGGGTGGGGATGATGAGACTAAGGCCTGCTAACCTTGTCCACGGTTTAGCATGCGAATTGCAGCCAAACTTCCATTTGCCGATCCAACACATTCAGATAATTGGGACATTTGGGATACTCCAAAGATTGAGGTCGTGGCGGCCCCCAAGACTTGATCATCTCTTCTCGATTTGGAACTCTCGTATCTAATAATTACAGAGGAATTTATATTTATTTTATGATAAGAGTTTCCGGGGTTTTCAACCTAACAAACTAGGGTTCAAATTAGACTTGATATCGTTATATATTCTCTATTTAAGCATTAGTCACACTGTAACGTTCTCAATACAAGTCCTCCTTCTGATACTTAGTTGTGGAGTCTCTGAACAAAGACATGTGACAAATGGCAGCAACTCCTCAGACCCTAACACTGCGATACTGCAGTGAGCCTTAATATCTCTAAATGCGTAGCATCACAACCCTTGACAGATCTCTCATAGCGGTGGCTGCGAGCCTACTGTGGCCGCCGTCACCACGAATCTTCTCCGTCTAAGTGTGTTTGTTGTATACAACTTCTTGTAAGAAACTATCATTAATATTTGCTGAAATTTGGCAGCTTGACTCAGATCGATTCCCAGGAGTCCAATGCCTAAAGCGTACAGCTACATTCCCGATCTCAGCCGTATATCCTCTGAAAGCTTGCTCTTGATTAATTCTAGTGGGTCTTCCTGGCAATCAAATAACCACCATTCTCTTTGATCAGAATCGATCGATCTGAAGTCTTCTAGACCAAGATTGGTATCATACCAGTATATCGATTTGTGGCGCCAAGTCCTTATACCATCATTGGCGTAGACACTATGGGTAATGTCTTCGTGGATCCAATAGCGGTGATATGTAACTTGTTGCCAGTCGTCGGGAGCCCTCTCAAACAGTGGAATTTTGAAAGAGACACCCTGCGTCATCGGTATATATATATGCCCATGTGAATAACATGCGGATCCAGAATGCCCTCCAGCTTCAACACAACATACAGACAATCTCAAAGCACAAACGTAGCAACGAAATTGTTGCCAATCCAAGCCTACTTAGCAGACAACATGACCACCTAGATGTCCGCGGCGGCTTTCTTGCCAGCTTGACTGTTCAACCATGAATTGGCCAGATCGCATATCTTACAATCCAATTTATGAATCGTAACTTCTAGATCACTATCCCTATCTCGCCAACATTGAATCCAAGCTTACTCAACTTTACCCTCCAGAAGTCACCTTTGCTGTCGGTATCGTGCTAGGGGATCATTGAAGAACGCGATTTGGCTGTCGTCTAATCATTCTAGCATACTGTGTGACTCTTCTTCTTTTCTCCATCGTTTGGTACACGGTAAAGAAACACGGTCGACTCCTCGCCGGGAGAAAGCTTTTGTAAATGTAGGTTGTTTTGGAGGGCTGGTTGGCACCCATGTTCCACGCAGAGATCGTTCTGGATCACTTGTTAGGTCTTGTATTAGTCAGCTATATGCTCAAACATCTTTCGTTTGGCTCATTCATCTTGGCGTGCCTCACTTGCAAAACACCTTATTGGACCAGCGAAATTTGTTGCCCATTGCGCTCGGCTTCATTATGCCTTTGCTACATGCTTGAGTCGAGCACGAGCTACGCGACTGAAGAAGAGCTCGAGCTTCTTAATCATCTTTGCCAGAGGAAAGAGAGCGTGACGACTGCTCCTGTCTAAGCGTATTGCGAGGCTTGAACAAGGCATACGGAATCATCTGCAATCTATATCGGTTCTCGTGATGCTCGTTACTAATATGGTCACAGGGACGCATTACGATTGCCTTGACGACTCAAATTCTTAACCAGGGCACTAGATAGGTCTTCGTCCGCCAGTACAGCATAGTCTTTGTCAAATCACTGGCAGTATCAACTCCTTCACGTTTACCCTTATCAATCTAAGAATTCAGTGCATTACCCCTTTGATTGCAATGTCTATCATAGATAAGATGGGTCGACAACTACGTGCCTCGGTGCGTGTGTTCGTCATGCATACGCATTCCGTAGGTGGGTCGGGTTCGCTACATGTGACAGAACAGCAGAATTAAATGTTGCTATGATTTCATCAAGGGCTTAGGTAATGTCACCTGATGACATTTTAACTGTATCTATCACAGGTAAGCGCACCCGGCGCAATGGTTCCTGGATAGAAAAGTAGATGCTGATGTTGACACTGACGGCCTGTACCATTTCCTCCTGTGAGGTCACTGCCTATCATATTGTTTCACAACACGATAAGACAATGGCATACGAGGCTTCGGAACTCAATGTTGGAATATACAGACTGCTGATTGGTCCTTAGGAGGCTGACTTGCCCTTACCTTGCAGGTGGCTGCAATGATGGGTGGGTAGTAAATGTGCACTTCGCCATTATGTATGATTGAGATTGGGCATTAATGCATTGTGAGTATGTTACAGATCTCAAGGCTACGTAGCGCGGAGCTCCCCTTATTGTAAGAAGTAGTAGTATTATATTGTGTGTAAGTGTAACTCTGTAAGATGCGAGCGCTGTAGGTCGCCTACGAGGTGCTATATATAGTGCTATCGGGCCAGAACAACCCTATCCGTTGTCACAGAGTATAAGCCAACTCACGGTTTGAAATGCCGAGCTGCATCAAGCCGGTTCAGATAACGAGGAGCCAATGGTAGAAATCGAAGTGTAGCACAAATCCATCTAAGCCTCATCTAATAAATGTAAAAACGGAGATGCTGGCTGCTCTTCGCACTTTAAATTTTTTAATTTCTATTCTATCTGGCTTTTGCAGGTTGGATCAATCAAACAACCAACTGACACGAGACGAAATGGCCACACCTGAGCTTCAAACACTGAATTATATCAACAGATACCATATCAGAAACGGGCCCCTTCAAGCCTGGTTGAACTGGTACTTTGGTACTACTGATATAAAAGTAGGCGTACGTCTCTAAACATTGTATCACGTGCGAAATTCTGAGTTGGCATGAGTTGATGTTCTCCTAGGATGGAAACGAGAAGGATGATCGCTTCTCGGTTTGGTTACCGAGAGAGTTGAGTAAAGTGTGTTCCACCCTCCAAAGGTTTCTATTACTCACAAGCTGACATGGGGTCAAGAAGGAGAAAAAGAGACTTAGAAACGAACTTTGGGACGTGGTGGAATGGAAACCTCCGGATCAGTCACAATGATGCCACAGTGGGACTGTCCTGGATAGACTTAGGTCTAAGCGTTGCAAGATATCTGGGAAGCCTTTACGGGGAGAGGAAAGATCGCTACTCATGTAAAACACAAAAGTTCTCTGAAGAGTTGGCAAGATCCTCAAACTCTGAAAATAGCTTGTTAGAGTACGATTATTTTTATTAGCATAACTCCATTGGCAGTCAAAGCTCATCGGCTATGTACTTCAACTTAGAAATTGCAGCGCTTTTTGTTCAGAATGTCTCTTAAAGGGATGTCAGTATGTATCCAGCTGACGAAGATCACAGGCGTTGGTTGCCTGGTCCATGAATATAGAGCTCTTGCTACTGACCTACAGAAAAATGCCTTGAATTATAGAGCATGGGCCGATCTGACGAGGCTGTAACTGGTGCCTTGATTTTGAGGCACAAATTGGGCTGAAAAGATCTGTTACCCGAATCATCCGTAGTTGAGCGTAAAACGTCCCGCGCCCGCGCACCCACCAAGCCTCGCGGTTAGACCTGCCTCACGCTTGCAGCAATGTTTCGGCGCAATTAACCACGCCGCAAACCTCTGCCTGTGAAGGCGAACACAATCCTGTAGTCTGAACACTTAAAGAGATCTCAGCCAGGAAATGAGCGCTTTAGAATGAGGCTCTGGGAATGCCTTGCGTTCATAATAACTACTCCCAGCTTATCTATCCTTAGTTCTTTGCCTCAGCAAGATTGCACACTCCTAATTTCCATCACACAAACAACAACTTTGGATCTTGAGTGACAAAATGACTTCTCCGCCGCACTATCGTGACGGTAAATGGGATGCTGCGCCTCGGATCACCCTCGAACGCGACCCGTTCGATCGTTTGGTCAAAGCCTGTGCGGATTCGGACCAGTATCCGGCGCGACATACACTCTTAGCCATTAAATTATCGAGATA